TGTGTAAATGTCGATGAGGCCTGCATTTCATAAGAGAATACTAATGTCTATTTCTCTTCATTTCGCACTACAGTCTAAATTACTGTTAAAAGTTCTTGCATATCTTCGGATTTCTTTTTCAAAAAGTTTATAAAAGAACTTGAAGCTTTCCATCTCTTACTAACATTGAATTGGGTTCGATAAACGAGTTTGTCTGATAGTTGCTAACAATGTCTATACATATTAAAAATAAAACAATATTTTACGAAGAAGCTAACACTATTTTTTATTTCGAGAAAATTCATGAAAATCAAGAGGGATAGAAAAGGAGGTTAGAAAAGAGGTTAAATCCTATCCTCTCACCCTAAATATATTTTTGCTGAATCATTGAGTTTTGGTTGAAGAAACCGGCGGAGCCAAATCGTGGCTCGACCTCAAAACAAAGCATTAAGTGAAGAATAATACACAAATGCACACGTGAGAAAAGAAGGTGAGAAACGGTAGAATTTCGTAACCTTCTTACCCTAAACATATATTTTTTGTGCATGTATTCTTTTATAAAATTCATGAAACATTCACAGAGGGTAGAAAAACAGGTTAGAAAACGAGTTAGAATCTAACCTTCTACCCTAAACTTATTTTTACAAATACTTTATTCAAGCACTTTTCCTAGTTAAATGAAAGACCAATTCGACGATAAATCATTAGATAACAAATGCAAATAATAGTAGCACACACCATTTTTGATGAATCCAAACTTGAAAGTCAGGAAACACTTACTACGTGTCGTAGAATTTAGAGCAAAGGTTCATAACAAGTCCTACACACTAACAATAGAAAATATTTGTGCAATTAAACATAACACTTAGCATGACACAATGACAATTTTGAGGGTCAAACACGGATTCTAAAACTGTCAAATCTGCGTTTGTGGGTATAAATTTAAATTTGCATCTAGGTGGTAATGTTCGTCTTGGTTCTTAGTAACCGAAGAAATTGTGCCCAAAGAACGTCTGTCTACTTCCCAATAATAAAAACTTGTACTCTCAGGGTTATTTCAATCTATTTGAAATGAAACATGTGGATCATCTTTCAATATTCTATTTCAGTAGTATGTTCCAGTTTAGTAAGAGTCGTATTTTTCTTGCAAATTCCACAATAATATTTGTTATTGTAGTTTGAAAGTTCATTTAGAGTCTCTTCTCAAGAGTTTCGTCGAACGAAAGTAAAGATTCTCATTTCGTCCAAATTTGTCTATTAGACCATCAGTACCTCTATAACTGCCCATGAAAATATAACTCGAACACATAAAAACTTAGTTTCTTTTGAAAACAAAACTTCTTCCTAAATCCTATTCCTTTTGCATTGAATGAGCTTTGAACAGCCAAACGAATTGATATTCAAACCTGTAGTCCCGGATGAATTTTCTTCATCTAGATATAGCCTACCAGCATTTGTGAAGATATAAGTCTAACGTTTTGTATCTGTCTACTTTTGTTCTTTTGTTTTTCACCTTAACATTTAATATAATGTATAACACATATTGTTTTACAAAACATGTTTGACTTCATGCAATTTTTACTCATATGCAAATGTTTTATTTCTGTGCCGTCTCAAGTATCACCGCAGTACTTACGCTTGGAGAGACCACATGAACTTCGAAAATACCTTAAGTCTAGCTTAAAAACAGCCCAATCTTTCTTCACGACCTAATCACCCATTTCAATGAGTTTGTTGTACCCTCTCTTCGTTCTATCATAGTGACTCAATGTTTCTATAGTAAAACCACAACTTTGATTGACATTCGAGAAGGATTGTTGTATTTCAAGGATACTTCCTTTTCGCCGAACTGAGGTTAAGACCAAGTTTCACCAATAGTTTTAATGTGGTTACTAAGGCCATTTTGACCTGAGTGATTACGTACTTCAAAACACAAAAGGAGAAAAACCTCTTCCAACAGTGGTCGACCTTCATCTAAATGTTACTCTTCAGTCTCTTGACTTTCCTTAATGGAATATCCCCCAATGTGAAATTCTTAAGCAAATTTGATAGTGTCCATGCAAAAATTGGTTGAAAGCTTTCACTAATATCCCAATAGTACTGTCGGTAATGACATTTCAAACTGGTAATTTCGACTCTAAGTCAATGAGATGTTCTATAATGAACTGTTGGTCAGTGAAGTAAACTTTTCCATCTGTTGTCTCGAAAGCTCCTTCAGACTTCAATATTTTATTTGTGAGAGTCTGTTTCTTTTTTGAGATACTAGCCGTTCCATTTCTATGAAAAGTGACTTTATAGTTAGGGTTTGTATTTCCAGACCTGGCACTTTCTATTATTGAATTTTTCTCTTCATCTGTAAGTTCTTTGACAGGTTTTGACAATGGTTCTGAACTTTTTGTTTGTGGTGTCAAATCTACCGTTTCAACTTCTTCGGTCATTTCATCTCAGTAAAAAATTTTAGTTTGGTTTGTTTTCAACTGGTTGTTGTTTTTTAAGTCGGTCTAAAACTTCCTGAGGTATAGGAAGAACTTGACAAACACGTTGTGTAACTGCTGGAAGCCGACAAATCCATCTTGAACCCATTTGTCTCAATGCTGTATTGTTCATTTCATCTCAGTAAAAAACTTTACATTCCCCACGTTTGAGGCGGTTGAGGTTGGTTATTGTTTACCCATTGTTGTGCATGGTTATATCCTCTGTTAAAGAATCTTTCACCTTGGTCCATATAGTGTCCTGCTTGGTTATAGTAGTCATTTGCTTTGTTATAATAGTTTCCTGCTTGTCTTCCTACATTGTCCATCCATCCTTGAACTTTTCCTCTTGTTTCAGGATTTGGAATAAGATTTGTTGCATCTCGTGCTACATCCCAACCTTTCTGTACAGTTTGTATAATAGGTTGTGCTTTCTCTTTAAGTATACCTAATGTACTCAAAATCTTCCTTCCAACTCCAAATACACCTCTGGCTATTGTTCCCACTGCGGGCAAAAATCTGGATGCAACTCCTGCTAATGCGCCAAATAAACCCATTTCTTATAGGGTAAAAATGACGAATCCAAACAAGGACCCCTATGTTTCTAAAGCGACAAAGAAAGCACTCATGATAAAAATCTTTAGTTCAACACCAAATGCTTGGTTTATGGATATCTTGGAAAACATTCCGAGGTATAGAGAAGATGGACCACCATACTGGCTAATATTTGTCGGTCAAAACACAAGATACTGTGAAGCCATACCATTATGGTCCAAAAATATTTTAGATGTGAAAACTGCTTTGACAATATTCGTTGACAAATACCATCCAACAAAACTGACATCTGACTGTGAAAGTTCTTTCAAATCAGATGATGTAAAAAACTATCTGCGTTCAAAAAATGTAAACCAATATTTCATTGTCGACCAAAACCATTCTGCTCTTGGTGTCATTGACGGTTGTATAAAAATGTTAAGAGACTTAAACCAACCACAAGGTGGTGAAGCAAATGAAATGTCATATGACGACAAATATAGACACTTCTCCATGGCAAAGATGAGACAAGTTTTAAATATTTACAATAGCCGTAAACAAAAAGGTTTGGGAAACCACTCCCCCGAAGAAATGAAAAACAACCCTGACTTAGAGAAAGACTATATATTTAATAATTTAGTCAAAAGAGACAAACAAGAAAGAATGCCGGGCTTCAAACTTCAGAAAGGTGACAAAGTAAAAATAGAAATACCTAAACGCGACCCATATGAAAATACTATTGACTATGACAACAATGGGAACCCGACAGGTACTCACATTCGTGTTCGTAAAAATAGAAGAAAGTATACAAGAGAATATTATGAAGTTTTAGGCAAACATGGCAAAATGTACAGACTGCAAGCAGAAGATAAAACTACTATTGTCAGACCTCGTTTCAAACTTGTCAAAGTTCAAGGTGGTATACTTTCAAAGACAGTTCCTAACAAATATAAGACAACTCCTGACGAATATGCTAAAGAAGTTGAAAATGACGACTAAGCATTTCTATACCATGCGTAAACTGTCATGTAAGGTGGCATGTATCTTTACTTTGTCCCGTTGTTTGCGTATATCCTGAAACGCGATGTGTATGGTTTCCTCTCCCTGAGTGTTACCAGAAACAATTTATAGCAAACTGAACGTTGTCTTTAACATCATATCCTTTACCTTTTTCATTGCTGACCAATCCCAAAATTATGCTTATGCAACCTGCTTGAGATGTACTTAAATCTATGTAGTGACTGTGTGCAGGTAAATTTTCACCTGAAATCGTTTTACTTCCACCTGTTTCCTTTGAAGAGTTTGCACAATACAAAAACCTGTCGACTATTTGAGTCCAAGTTCCAAAACCAGAACTGTTTCTGGTCTGGTAGAGTTCATTGACGTATAAATAGAGCCTATAGGATATAATGTTTGAAGTATTTCTGTCTTTAATGTTTGAAGCTCTGTTTTGTCTGCTTTCTTGTCATATAAATCTTGAGCAGTGAATTTAATATTATGTTCATCCTTCATGACATAAACATCTTTACATCTAATGTTTCTCATCGTCGTTATGTCGTCATCCGATGTTAAACCTTGTGGAAAGTTAGGAGGTTTACAATATAATGCATCCCCACCAGTTTCTTCAACCGTTCCTTCAATACTTTCTATAGCAACAGTTGTAAAACTTGTATGTGTATGGTTCTTGTCTGCTTTCTTCTCTAACTCATCGTTAACATAAGTTTTATCTGCTTTAAGGTCTAAACATCCTGAAACCCATCCTGTATCGGCTTTAGTTTTTAAAATCTTCGATGTCCGTTCATGGTACCAGTCAACCCTTTCTATAATTTCTTTATCTTTTTCATCCACATATTCCTTATCCGCCTTCTTCACTAACACACTAGCCATAAGTCCCTTATCTACCTTATTTTCAAGGCTAACGTTTAAGTCTGTTATTTCAGATATAGAATGTGTATGAGTCTTTTTAGAATATTCGTTTTCAGCTCTTGTCACTTCACTTGACATTTTATTGTCAACATATGTTTTGTCTGCTAGTTCAGGATGAGTATGTTCTTTTGTTGCATAAGCATTGTTAGCTCTTTCTTCTTCTTTTGCTATTGCATCGTCTACATATTCTTTGTCAGCTTTGTTGTCAACATCTGCTTTCAAAAGAAGTTCATTTATAGGTTTCTCGTTTAAAGTTCCTTTTGTTGGATTTATACAGACAGTATGGTTCTTATTGTCTTGAAATAGAAACTCATCTGTCATTGGGTTTAATGTCAGTTTTAAGTTTCCTTCTTTCAATGACTCAGATATCTTAGAATAGTTTGAAAAGTTTGTTGTGTTCTTATTTAGAGCTTGCATAATGAGTTGTCGGTTGTGTTGTATTTCTCTCATGGAAGCAATATCTTTCGACATTTTTATTCTAGATAAAATATGCTTCCAATAGAAAAAGAAAATTCAAGAGTTGCTACAACTAAACCATTAGATGAACTTTTTACTAATGTCGGTCAAAAGTTTGAGACAGAGACCGTAAAGCATGAAGGCTATCGTTTTGACTACCCATTAAGATGGCTAAGAGACCCATCTGTCACAAAAGCTATTGGCTTTCGTAGAATGAAGTTCATTTCAGAAGCCATACATGGTTTCCCATTTACGGTCGGTTTTGAAGTTCGATACTATAACAAAGAAAAACGTATGTATGAGAAATTTGAACAGGGAAAACTTTTACAAGTTAGTTTGCTTGTAAACTTAGAAACAACTCTTCAAGCTTTTCAAGAAAAAATAAACGATATCTATATCGAATATGCAAAACAGTATAACATTGACGAAGGAGAGTACCATCTCGATATTATTTATGACAGGAAAAATGCAACTGTTAAAATCAATAGAATAGAAGACCTTGGAGAAAACGTTTATATTTCTACAAAATATAACAACTTGGCATGGTATAGATTTCTGAGGATGTTAAATCAGCCTGCAGCATATCCAGTACACCCAGACTTTTATGAAGTCGAAAACCCTAATGGAACATATGAAAATGTTTTCGACCAAGATGCTATTATTGTTCATGCTTCATTTTCTGGCGCCCAAAACTCTTTCTTATGCTTGGCAAATGACTTTTACGAAAACCTACAAAGTTATACGAACCACCAAGTGGAAGTATTTCAGACTTTCAAGTATGGTTTACTACAGATGGAAGAAAAAGAATAATTCCATTATACCATGCGTTTTACTTAGAACTTAGTTTCATATACAACTACTATCGAACGGTAAAAATATAATTTTTTAATACGGTTGAGGTGTTGGATTTGGTTGCCAACTAGACTGTGGTGCAGGTTCAGGCTGTTGTATAACAGGAGCTTGCTCTTCTGGTTCAGGGTCTTTAGGTATAATACCAACAAACTGACCTACCCTTTTACCAATATTTTTGACACCGTTCCAAATTCCTCTTCCTACGGTTTTTATTCCATTCCATATACCTCTTCCAACTCTTCTGAAGAAGTTTCCAATACTACTGAAGAAACCCATTTTACTATATGTAAAAATCTAATGTCCGCCTAGTCTCTTACGTTTCCTGTTGAGTTCCATAGCATTCTTTAACTGGAGCTCATACATTCTGTTTCTCCTCTGGTAGAAAACATATTCTGGGTCAACTCCTGTGTTCGCGTCATCTGCATAAAGTTGTTTATATCCCACTTCAGGGTTTGTATAAAACTCTTTCCATCTCATATTTGCATACCATGGTGGCAAACCTAACGCAGCGTCATTTGACATGGCAGTTTGCATTTGTACATCTGTTGGCACTTGACCATAGTTTGCCATTGCAGTTTGTATTCTAACTTCATTTGGAATATTCTCTGGGTTTGGTTGTCCAGGTTGCTGTGTATTCGCTAAGTTCTGTGCGTCCATTTAATATTAGATAAAAATATCTCTTACGAGTACATATACTGAACATTTGCAGGCATTGGTTCATCTTCATATTCTCTGTACTTTTCTGCCACGTCAAATAAATAAATGACACAATGGAAAAAACCTAAAACAAGTAGTCCTATTTCAAACCACATTTACTTACTAATAAAATTTCTTTGTTATGACACTTTCTCCGGTTTATAGGACCTCTCTCATATTCTATCTTGTCATATATAAACTCATAGTCATGTATGTTCTCTAACCATCTCATAACGGTTTCCAAACCACTTTTATCGGATGTAAAGTAAAAGCATGGACAGTTATGTATAACGTCTAAAGTTTCTAAAGAGTCTCTCAAAGTCCAGTCTACTTGGTATTGAAAATCCCATGTGTTATAGAACGGCGGGTCCACTATAAAGAAAACATTTTCCTTGTCTTTATATTTTTCATACAAATCTGTCCAATAACATCTCACAAACTCTATACCCTCAATATATTTTTCTATGTCCTCTTTGAAAACATTTGTATAGTTAAGATATAAAACTTTTGACATAAGTGTTTCAATGTCATGAACTCTTATAGAACCACTATATAATAGTCTAGCAGATATACTATCCCAGTCTATATATTCTGCTTTTTCAAAACCTCTCTCACAATATTTTTGTTATCTAATGGTATACGTTCCATCTTACCTATAGGTATCTTTTCTTTTAACTCTTTCAATATATTGTTTGTGTCTGGAATATGTTTGAGACGGTCCATATAGTTGTCGAAGTCATTGCATATAATCTTTGAGTCTGGGAATATTGTATGGCACAAATGGGATATATAGAAACTTCCACCGAACAAATCTACAAATGTTAGACCATTCGGTAGTTTTTCTTAAGTTCTCTCAATATAATATCTTTACATTTACTCTTATTTCCAAAGAACGGTAACGGAGGTTTTGTAAAATTCATTTATATATAATAATAAAAATGTTTTTTCCTGAAAAGTGACAGAAAAGTGACAAAACATGAAAACATATATAATTTGTGAAAAGAAACATTATATAATGTTTTCGACCCAGAAGAAGGCTTCTTCCCAGAAGCAATGGAGGAAGAAGAAGAGTCCTCCGAATTCACACCAGAAGACTAACAATTTTCCGAATAAAAACTTCATTTATACTAAACATCTTCGGGGCTAGAGGGCACGAAGTGCCTGGAAGCCCCACTACCTTTTTTTTTTTTTTTTTTTTTTTTAAAACGAAATTGTTAAAAGAAAAAAATGAAAATTGTTAAATAATATATTATTTTTTAGTCATAAGAATAAAAATATAGTAGTTATAAAAGGAATTAGACTTCATATATCAATTCTTTTTCTCTGTAGATGTGGAACGTTTGCTTTTCGATCTCTTTCGATGAACTTGAAAATATAAGTTATTATCGCTGAGAATCCTTTCCGAAATAGGAGCTTTACGTTTAGGAGGATTGTCGGATGAATTTTGTTTTTTATTGTTTGATTTTGTTGTTATGGAAGATTTTTTCTTATTTTTTTCAGAATTTTGCTTGCTATTAACTGAAACTTGTTTTGACGGCCCAACAATAACATTTGTAGTAGGAAGAATTCCCATAACGAGCGCATTTTCGATAATTGTTTTTTCAATATGATCAGAAGGTCCAGCTTATGTTCTAGATTACTAGACATTTGATTTGTAGAAGGATGGTTTTGATTTTCTGGTTCTAAATCTGTAGAGTCTGCAATATTTGAATTTTCGGAGCGAATTGGAGCATCTGAACCTTGATTTGTATCGGCTTGCTCAAAATTAGTTTGAATTGGAGTGGATGAATTAAAATCTGGATGATTTAATGTTTCATTAAATAATGCCATAATTTTTTCTCTTTTTTCATTAATAAACTTAGTGATCATTGTATCTTTATCTGTTAGATCGATCGATTTGAGTATATCTGCATCATGAACTGGAATATTTTCGAACAATGAACTCGATTCTATGGAACCATATGGAGAAATCTCGTTCTGAGCCAAAGAAAGATCACTTACGTTGTATTGTTTGATAGAAAAAATTGTTTTCTCAAGTTCTTTTTGAAAGCAGTCAAGAAATATAATTTTTGTAGCTATCAGTGATAACGGTTTTTATATGGCGCTCGATCTTCTGGTTATTTTTGATGGCGTTATATTTATCTAATTGGATTTGAGATATCTTCTTAATAGCTTCATAAATGTTTGGATGTTTTAACGAAGAAAATTTGAATGCATACTCTCGAGGCAATCATTAGTGAATATTGCAGTTGCATTATTATATTGAGATATTAAATTATAGTGCGGCAACCAAACTTTGTTGAAATAATCAATATAATCTTTGATCGAATCAACTTTATTTTGATTAATTATATGCATTGTAAGTACAAATTCTTCATGAGACATGAATGGAGTAATAGAATATAGCTTAAATAAAGAATTTTGTAAAGTATTGAAATTTTTTGTATAAAGTGCTACAAGTTTCCTGTGTAAAGCTTGTTTGAAATGAAATAGGCATCCAATTATACGGACTTTAGGGAAAATTTGTTGAAGTGCCTCTATCATTCCCTTTTCAAAATCACAATGAATTTGAATTAGCTTTGAAAATTGAATACCCTTGACAGTAAAAAATATATTCAAATGCCTTCTTATAAGATTCAAATGTGCGGTTTTTCATGAATATAAATAAAAGTGGTAGATATTGATTTGTTGAAGGTTCACAAATCATAATTGTTAGCATCTGTCCTTTTTGAAAATGTTTTGGTGTAATTTTAAAAGTTCCATCGCAAAATAAATCTGTGGCTTCTTTTGCAAATTGAATTGCCTTCTCAAAACCAAAAAACATCGTCTCACAATTTGCTTGAAAATCATGGCCAATGAAAAACTGCTCGCCATTTATTAAACAAAAATTAGCAATTTCATCGTCTGTAATTTTTTCTCCAACAGAAAATTTTCTGGACTTATTATAAACTTCCCTGACCAATGAATCTTTAATTAATGGGTTTTCATCAGTACCAACAGCAAGTTCTGTCATAAATTTTTTAATCTGCTGAAAAGTGCCGTTGTCTTCAGAAAATTTTGCCATTGCCTTATTGTATATTTCTGTCAGAGTCATTGATTTATGAAGATCATTTTTTTCATTTTGTAACTTTTTAAATTGTCTGCATTCGGGTATATGTTCCTTTTGTAAATCTTCGGAAACTGAACTGTTCTCAATTTTAACTAAATAACGTGCTTGACAAGAATGATCGATGCAACGGTAGTAACGTTCAATATTATTTGAATTAATAATATTTGTATGATCATGCGAATAAAGCATATCTTTGCGAACAATTGTATCAGGATATTTTCCAGTAACTGCGGGAATATTTTTAACTGCAATATAACTAAAATATCTTCTGACAGCTTTAGATTCATTTTCGGCGTATTTAATATTAAAATATTGAAGAACTTGTTTGATTATATTCGTTTTTTCATCTCTCGATGTTGATTTTTGGTATTTATCAGATTGTTCCCTGATAAATATTTTATTTTCGTCTGTAAAGTTTGCTCTTTTTTGATTAAATATAGATGATTTTCCCATTAAAAAATGAAATGATGCAAAATTTACGAAAACCGTTCGAAAATTGAATCAAAAATGAAAAGTAATACTTAAATGAGGAATTCTTTGAGATATTGGTCTTAGATTGAATGTAGCGTCATTCTTATATAGAATATATATTCATATCATCGGAAATATGATAAAAAGCATATAATAAATGTCAAAAAAGTGAACAAATAAGCAAAGATATTTTTTAAAAAACAATGAAAAGTAATACTTAAATGAGGAATTCTTTGAGATATTGGTCTTAGATTGAATGTAGCGTCACAAATTTCACAAATATAATTTACTATACAATTTTATTCATTTTTTTAAAATGGCTGACGACAGTCTGTATCAACTAACTCAACTAGTCAAGCATAATGATTATTCTTCGGATTCATTAAATCAACTTTATCAATGCATAAGTACAATGACAGAAAGATCAATTGGATGCTTGAATTGGGATAAATTTTTCAAAAAAATCACAGTGACTGATGAAGTTCTTTTACATTTTTTAGCATCCGTTTTAAACATTGAAAAGATATCAGAATGTTTCAAGGATTCTATTTTTTATCACAATATTAATCTTGAAAAATTCAGTAATTTAACTGAAACAGAACAACAAACAATTTTAAATTCCTACAAAGCGGATAAATTTACATATTACATAATGTGCTCACAAATTGTAAAATCAAACTGGAACAATTTATCCCAAACTTTAGTTAATATTGCAAATCAATATTTGCCATTTTTAGATGAAGAAAAGCAAATATATATATTTACTGAAATAACTGGCAATTATCAAAATTTTGAAATTTCAGTTGCAAACTTGTTACTTTTTTATGAAAACAATGAAGAAAAATTAAGCAACTGTTTTAATTTAACATTGTTCCAGCAAATTTATTCCAAAAATGGAATCGAGCAAATGATATTTTTTGCTGCAAATACAATTTGTTGCAATAACACTTCTATCAATTTTTACAATCTCCTTGAAATTGAAGAAATGAATCCATTTGATTTTTTTTATTTCTCAATTCAATATAAAGAGATATTAAATTGCGATGATTTTCCAAAAGTTACAGAAGTAATCACAGGTTTAATCTCAGCTTCAAATATTAATGCTATTATGCGAATTTGCCAAAAAATTTTGGATAAAATTACATTTTATAAATGTAATTATTGCCATATTACCTCAATATGGAATTTTATCACAAATGCAGCAATAATTCTTCCTGATGAAGATTTATTAATCAAATTATTAAAATTCATAGAAAAAACAGAAAAAGCAACAGATGAATTATTCGAACCGGAGAATGATTTGGGTTTCTATGAATATTTAAATTCGATTTTCTCAGATATTACATCTGCGAGAAATAAGCAATTTCTCTTGGAATTTCTAAATACCCATGAAGATGACTTCACTTATGATCAAACATTGTGAGGTCATTTTTGATCAACAAATTAATTGAAATTCCGATCAAAAAAAATTCACAAATTGGATCAAAAAAATCGAATCTCAAGTTAAAAATAAAAAATTTCTACATTTTTATCAAATTTAGATTTTTTTTTCAAATCATGCGAATTGATTGAATAATTGCATATTTTATCCCATGCATCTAGAAGTATGTGTAATATTTTTGCTTTCATCAAGAAATTGTCGAATTTGATCTTAATTTTTTTTGAAAAATATACTTTTAGAAAAAGAAATAGTGATTGAATAGCTGCCCATGCTGTAAAAGGGTTATTTTTACAAGTAAAAAAATTGTTATTTTTCGAGCAAGTCGAGGCTTTTTTACCATCTTATTTTTGAAAAATTTACGAAAAATTATATCTGAAAAAACGCTTCATTTTGATATCTTACAATGATAAAATACCAATGTTGCTGGGATATAATAGCTACACCTGGACATCTACTACATTAATGCGTATGACAGGTAAAGTTGATTTCAAAAGTATAGCCTGGAAAGATTACAATAAATCAACGATAATTCAAAAAAATTTCTTATAAGTTAACATAATAAAAATTTAATTTTTATATTGCTTGTATTATACTTAAGTATATAATATATTTAAATCTTAGAATGAAAATTCGGGACGCCCTAGCTATTCAATTTTCCCTTAGGACGCCCATAAACCTCTCAAAAATGTGATGTAAATATCACAATTTTGAGAAATTTACACTAGGACGCCTTAGGACGCCAACCCCCTTTTTTACCCATAAATCGCATTGTATTTTGGAGCAAATTTAATTGACATATGAATAAAAATGCGCGTATATAAAAATACAAGAAATAAAAAGCAGATTTTATGATGTAATTCCATCAAATTAATTAATGAAACTATTCGACTCTAATGGACATGTATCTGGTTCAACCGTATGTAAAGATTTTCCTATAATATAATAAGGAGATTGAATTCTGGATTCTAGGCGCTCATTCCTATTCTAAAACAAGTCATAAAAATTGAATTAATTCAAAAAAAAATCAAAAATGGGAACTCTAGGAATCGAACCTAGATCTTTTAATTATCACACAGAAATCTTTAAGTGATTTTAGATTTATTCTCCCATTGAACTAAGTCCCCAACCTAAATTTGAAATAGGGTTTACATTCACAATTTCTAGCCTGCAGGGAGTAGCGCCTTTTGATGCTATCACACTTTGAGAATCCAATTAAAGAGAAATTCGTTGTTTGAGGTAAATTGATGAATATTAAAAAAAAAAAAAAAAAAAAAAAAAAAAGGCAGTGGGGCTTCCAGGCACTTCGTGCCTTCTAGCCCCGAAGATGTTTAGAATATGAGAGAGGTCCTATAAACCGGAGAAAGTGTCATATAAACATCTGTCATTTTACTCAGAATTTTATACAGAATTCGGCAAAAATATATTTTAGGGTAGAAGGGTATATCTAACCTCTTTTCTAACCTCATTTCTAACCTCTTGAATTTTCATGAATTTTCATGAAATTTACACCAAAAATAATGTTTAGGTGAAGAGGTGAGATTTCACCTGTTTTTTCACCTAATTTTTCACCCTCTTGAATTTTCATGAAATTTACACCAAAAATATATTTTAGGTGAAGAGGTGAGATTTCACCTGTTTTTTCACCTAATTTTTCACCCTCTTGAATTTTCATGAAATTTACACCAAAATATACTACTAGGGTCATTTACGAAGAAATCTCAACAAAGTCTTTACGAAGAAGTCTTAACAAAGTCTTTACGAAGAAGTCTTAACAAAGTCTTTACGAAGAAATTCATGAAAATTCAAGAGGTGAGAAATGAGGTGAAAAAAGAGGTGAAATCTCACCTCTTCACCTAAAATATATTTTTGGTCATTTACGAAGAAGTCTTAACAAAGTCTTTACGAAGAAGTCTTGACAAAGTCTTTACGAAGAAGTCTTAACAAAGTCTTTACGAAGAAGTCACAACAAAACATCTGTCAAAAGCCGCTTTTCTGTCACTTTTCAGGAAAAAACATTTTTATTATATATATAAAATGAATTTTACAAAACCACCGTTACCCTTCTTTGGAAATAAGAGTAGATGTAAAGATATTCTATTGAGAGAACTTAAGAAACTACCGAATGGTCTAACATTTGTAGATTTGTTCGGTGGAAGTTTCTATATATCTCATTTGTGCCATACTGTATTTCCTGACTCAAAGATTATATGCAATGACTTCGACAACTATATGAACCGTCTCAAACATATACCAGACACAAACAAAATATTGAAAGAGTTAAAAGAAAAGATACCTATAGGTAAGATGGAACGTATACCATTAGATAAGAAAAATACTGTCAGAGAGGTTTTGAAAAAAGCAGAGTATATTGACTGGGATAGTATATCTTCTAGACTATTGTATAGTGGTTCTATAAGAGTTCATGACATTGAAACACTTATGTCAAAAGTTTTATATCTTAACTATACAAAGGTTTTTAAAGAGAACATAGAAAAATATACTGAGGGTATAGAGTTTGTGAGATGTCATTGGACAGATTTGTATGAAAAATATAAAGACAAGGAAAATGTTTTCTTTATAGTGGACCCGCCGTTCTATAACACATGGGATTTTCAATACCAAGTAGACTGGACTTTGAGAGACTCTTTAGAAACTTTAGACGTTTTACATAACTGTCCATGCTTTTACTTTACATCCGATAAAAGTGGTTTGGAAAGTGTCATGAGATGGTTAGAGGACATACATGACTATGATTTTAGATACGATAAGATAGAATATGAGAGAGGTCCTATAAACTGGAGAAAGTGTCATAACAAAGAAATTTTACTAGTAAGTAAATGTGGTTTGAAATAGGACTACTTGTTTTAGGTTTTTTCCATTGTGTCATTTACTTATTTGACGTGGCAGAAAGATATAGAGAATATGAAGATGAACCAATACCAGCAAATGTTCAGCATATGTACTCGTAAGAGATATTTTTATCTAATATTAAATGGACGCACAGAACTTAGCGAATGCACAGCAACCTGGACAACCAAACCCAGAGAATATTCCAAATGAAGTTAGAATACAAACTGCAATGGCAAACTATGGTCAAGTGCCAACAGATGTACAAATGCAAACTGCCATGTCAAATGACGCTGCGTTAGGTTTGCCACCATGGTATGCAAATATGAGATGGAAAGAGTTTTATACAAACCCCGAAGTGGGATATAAACAACTCTATGCAGATGACGCGAACACAGGAGTTGACCCAGAGTATGTTTTCTACCAGAGGAGAAATAGAATGTATGAGCTCCAGTTAAAGAATGCTATGGAACTCAGAAGGAAACGTAAGAGACTAGGTGGACATTAGATTTTTACATATAGTAAAATGGGTTTCTTTGGAAGAATAGGAAACTTCTTTCGAAATGTTGGAAGAGGTATATGGAATGGAATAAAATCTGTCGGAAGAGGAATTTGGAACGGAGTCAAAAATATTGGCAAAAGAGTAGGTCAGTTCGTTGGTATTATACCTAAAGACCCTGAACCAGAAGAGCAAGCTCCTGTTATACAACAGCCTGAACCTGCACCACAGTCTAGTTGGCAACCAAATCCAACACCTCAACCGTATTAAAAAATCATATTTTTACCGTTCGATAGTAGTTGTATATGAAACTAAGTTCTAAGTAAAACGCGTGGTATAATGGAATTATTCTCTTTCTTCCATCTGTAGTAAACCATACTTGAAAGTCTGAAATACTTCCACTTGGTGGTTCGTATAGCTTTGTAGGTTTTTCGTAAAAGTCATTTGCCAAGCATAAAAAAGAGTTTTGTGCACCAGAAAATGAAGCATGAACTATAATAGCGTCAGAGTCGAAAACATTTTCATATGTTCCATTAGGGTTTGAGACTTCATAATAGTCCGGGTGTACTGGATACCATGCAGGCTGATTTAACATCCTCAAAAATCTATGCCATGCCAAGTTGTTATATTTTGTAGAAATATAAACGTTTTCTCCAAGGTCTTCTATTTTATTGAATTTAACAGTTGCATTTTTCCTGTCATATAAAATATCGAGATGGTACTCTCCTTCGTCAATGTTGTACTGTTTTGCATATTCGAGATAGATATCGTTTATTTTTTCTTGAAAAGCTTGAAGAGTTGTTTCTAAGTTTACAAGCAAATTCACTTGTAAAAGTTTTCCCTGTTCAAATTTCTCATACGTACGTTTTTCTTTGTTATAGTATCGAACTTCAAAAGCGACCGTAAATGGGAAACCATGTATGGCTTCTGAAATGAATTTCATTCTACGAAAGCCAATAGCTTTTGTGACGGATGGGTCTCTTAACCATCTTAGTGGGTAGTCAAAACGATAGCCTTCATGCTTTACGGTCTCTGTCTCAAACTTTTGACCGACATTCGTAAAAAGTTCATCTAATGGTTTAGTTGTAGCAACTCTTGAATTTCTTTTTCTATTGAAAGCATATTTTATCTAGAATAAAAATGTCGAAAGAAACAGCGTCTATGAGAGAAATACAACACAACCGACAACTCATTTTGCAAGCTCTAAATAAGAACACAACAAACTTTTCAAACTATTCTAAGATATCTGAGTCATTGAAAGAAGGAAACTTAAAACTGACGATAAACCCATTGACAGACGAGTTTCTGTTTCAAGACAGTAAGAACCATACTGTTTGTATAAATCCAACAAAAGGAACTTTAAACGAGAAACCTATAAATGAACTTCTTTTGAAAGCAGATGTTGACAACAAAGCTGACAAAGAGTATGTCATTGAAAAAGTTCAAGAAGAACATGACAGAGCAGATGCAACATATGCAACGAAAGAACATACTCATCCTGAACTAGCGGACAAAACATATGTTGACAATAAAATGTCAAGTGAAGTGACAAGAGCTGAAAACGAATATTCTAAAAAGACTCATATACATACCATTGCAAATATTACAAACTTACAAGAAACCTTAAACAGGAAAAGTGACGTTGGACATACACATTCTATATCTGAAATAACAGACTTAAACGTTAGCCTTGAAAAGAAAGCTGACAAAACATATGTCAACAGTGAGTTAGAGGAGAAGGTAGATAGGGGTTGTATGGCTAGTGCGTTAGTGAAGAAGGCAGATAAGGAATATGTGGATGAAAAAGACAATGAAATTAAAGAAAGGGTTGAATGGTATAATGAACGGACATCGAAGATTTTAGAAGGTAAAGCCAATACAGGTGGGTTTCAGGATGTTTAGACCTTAAAGCGGATAAGAACCATACACATACCATTGCAAATATTACAAACTTACAAGAAACCTTAAACAGGAAAAGTGACGTTGGACATACACACGATTTCTTCGCAACTGTTGGTATAGAAAATATTGAAGGAACGGTTGAAGGAGCTGGTGGGGATGTATTAGATTGAAACCTCCTAACTTTCCACAAGGTTTAACATCGGAAGAAGACATAACAACGATGAGATACATTAGATGTAGAAATGTCTATGTCATGGAGGATGAAAAAAAAGTTAAATTCACTGCTCAAGATTTATATGATAAAAAAGCTGACAAAACAGAGCTTCAAACATTAAAGACAGAAATACTTCAAACATTATATCCTATAGGCTCTATTTATACGTCAATGAACTCTACCAGACCAGAAGTAGTACTTGGTCTCGGAACTTGGACTCAAATAGTCGACAGGTTTTTGTATTGTGCAAACTCTTCAAAGGAAACAGGCGGAAGTAAAACGATTTCAGGTGAAAACCTACCTGCACACAGTCACTACGTAGATTTAAGTACATCTCAAGCAGGTTGGCATAAGCATAAATTTTGGGATTGGCACGCCTTGAAAAAAGGTAAAGGATATGATGTTAAAGACGACGTTCAGTTTGCTATAAATTGTTACTGGAGTGACACTCAGGGAGATGGAAACCATACACATCGCGTTACAGGATATACACAAACAACGGGACAAAGTAAAGACTACATGCCACCTTACATGACAGTTTACGCATGGTATAGAATTGCTTAGTCGTCATTTTCAACTTCTTTAGCATATTCGTCAGGAGTTGTCTTATATTTGTTAGGAACTGTCTTTGAAAGTATACCACCTTGAACTTTGACAAGTTTGAAACGAGGTCTGACAATAGTCGTTTTATCTTCTGCTTGCAGTCTGTACATTTTGCCATGTTTGCCTAAAACTTCATAATATTCTCTTGTATACTTTCTTCTATTTTTACGAACACGAACGTGAGTACCTGTCGAGTTCCCATTGTTGTCATAGTCAATAGTATTTTCATATGGGTCGCGTTTAGGTATTTCTATTTTTACTTTGTCACCTTTCTTAAGTTTGAAGCCTGGCATTCTTTCTTGTTATCCTTTTGACTAAACTATTAAATATATAGTCTTTCTCTAAGTCGGGTTGTTTTTCATTTCTTCGGGGGAGTGGTTTCCCAAACCTTTTTGTTTACGGGTATTGTAAATATTTAAAACTTGTCTCATCTTTGCCATGGAGAAATGTCTATACTTGTCGTCATATGACATTTCATTACCTCACCACCTTGTGGTTGGTTTAAGTCTCTTAAGATTTTTATACAACTGTCAATGACACCAAGAGCAGAATGGTTTTGGTCGACAATGAAATATTGGTTTACATTTTTTGAACGCAGATAGTTTTTATATCGTCTGATTTGAAAGAACTTTCACAGTCAGATGTCAGTTTTGTTGGATGGTATTTGTCAACGAATATTGTCAAAGCAGTTTTCACATCTAAAATATTTTTGGACCATAATGGTATGGCTTCACAGTATCTTGTGTTTTGACCGACAAATATTAGCCAGTATGGAGGTCCATCTTCTCTATACCTCGGAATGTTTTCCAAGATATCCATAAACCAAGCATTTGGTGTTGAACTAAAGATTTTTACCATGAGTGCTTTCTTTGTTGCTTTAGAAACATAGGGGTCCTTGTTTGGATTCGTCATTTTTTACCCATAAGAAATGGGTTTATTTGGCGCATTAGCAGGAGTTGCATCCAGATTTTTGCCCGCAGTGGGAACAATAGCCAGAGGTGTATTTGGAGTTGGAAGGAAGATTTTGAGTACATTAGGTATACTTAAAGAGAAAGCACAACCTATTATACAAACCGTACAGAAAGGTTGGGATGTAGCACGAGATGCAGCAAATCTTATTCCAAATCCTGAAACAAGAGGAAAAGTTCAAGGATGGATGGACAATGTTTAGACAAGCAGGAAACTATTATAACAAAGCAAATGACTACTATAACCAAGCAGGGCACTACATGGACCAAGGTGAAAGATTCTTTAACAGAGGATATAACCATGCACAACAGTGGGTAAACAACAACCAACCTCAACCGCCTCAAACGTGGGGAATGTAAATTTTTTTACTGAGATGAAATGAACAATACAGCATTGAGACAAATGGGCTCAAGATGGATTTGTCGACTTCCAGCAGTTACACAACGTGTTTGTCAAGTTCTTCCTATACCTCAGGAAGTTTTAGACCGACTTAAAAAACCTAAACAACCAGTTGAAAACAAAACAAACTAAAATTTTTTACTGAGATGAAATGACCGAAGAAGTTGAAACGGTAGATTTGACACCACAAACAAAAAGTTCAGAACCATTGTCAAAACCTGTCAAAGAACTTACAGATGAAGAGAAAAATTCAATAATAGAAAGTGCCAGGTCTGGAAATACAAACCCTAACTACAAAGTCACTTTTCATAGAAATGGAACGGCTAGTATCTCAAAAAAGAAACAGACTCTCACAAATAAAATATTGAAGTCTGAAGGAGCTTTCGAGACAACAGATGGAAAAGTTTACTTCACTGACCAACAGTTCATTATAGAACATCTCATTGACTTAGAGTCGAAATATTCTAAACTTTACAACAAACACAAAAAGTTGAAAGGAAAACAAAAACAAATGGCATATGATATTTATGAAGATGTTGACGACACAACTGTTCCTGCAGGTGAGGTAAAGTCAGAGGAACCAAAAAGTGACGAAAAACCAATAGAAGAAGAAAAACCAAAAACTGAAGATAAACCAAAACCAAAGGTTAGTTTCAATACTAAACCAAGTCAACCTTCATTAGCTGGTATGGGTTGGCGTCAAAGGCTTTTGGTAGCAGGTGGTTACGTAAAGTAAAGAAAAAAACATTTTTTTATTTTTATAAAAATGCCCCCATATAGAATGGATAGAAAGTCTGCTAGAATAAAAGCAGAGTTACAAAGATATGGTTGGAGAGTTTCGAAGAATTTTAAATATAGGAAGGGAAGACCCATAAAAGTCTATGACAAATTGTCTGGTCTTCGCTACGAAATGGACTTGGAAACAGCACGCGCAAATTATCCAAACAGACTAGAGAGGTTAGAAGAAGAACGTCTTATGGACATGCCTTTCGATGTTAGTGAACCTCAAGTTGAAGGACACGACGGCTTTGCCAGATTCTACTGGAAACATGACGAACAATTGCATCCTTTGAGAAGGAAAAAAGGAAAAGGTGAAGACGCACATGCTCCCATGGAAAGAACAAGATATGCATATGAAAAGTATCGCGAAGTTAGAAGTCAAATTACATCTGGTCGAACCTTTACAGTAAACTTTGACGAAGGAAAGAACAAAGAAGGCTTCATGGGAGTACTTGCTGCCATTCAAGACGGAAATAAGAAAGGATACAATCTCAGACTAACCGTAACAGATTTAGATGGTCATATATACTATGCACATGGCAATGTCACAACAGCTGCAATGCTTCTTGACGCTTTCAAGACTACAAAGAGAGAACAAATGGTTGACTCCGACTCAGACATTTTGAATGCAATTGAAGGAATTGCAAGTGTCAAGTTCGAATGGTACCAACCTAACCCTCAAGCAGTCAGACAACATGCTGGATACTTCCCGTTCATAAATAAGTCTGACATTGACTTGACAAGGTATGGAATTTACAATTCAATTGAAACAATTGTCAATGAACCTTGCATTCTTACATGTCTCAGGAACTCTGGTCTTGTTACAGATGAGAAGATGAAGTATCTTGAGTCATGTGTGAAGACAAGGTACATTCTCAGAGGTCAATTGGCAAAAATTGCACCGTTGGCAAATGTCAATATCCGAGTCAACATACCTACAGCTAAAGGTTCTTCACATGACGACTATGTTGTTGAGTTCAATTTACCATGGTTGAAGATTGCAATTGTCCACAACCACTTCATGTTGAACGAAAGTCTTACAAACCCATTGTTCGGAAAAGGCAAGTGCAACATTGTCAGAGCTGTAAACATTCTTTTCGAGAAAGGTTTGTTGGAACCAATTCCAGATGACAAGCTGACAGAAAGTTTTGTACCAAAAGACGAAACAAACTTTTCATTGTTAGCAAGACCAAAAGTTGTTCCAGACAAAGTTCTAGTACAAAAGAAGTACACAATTCCAAAAGGAGTTGGATTGTTCGGATACCAACCTGAACCAGAAGAACTTCCAATGAGGTTGCAAGAACTTCAAGATGCTATAAACAAACTTCCATTGAGACATCCAATTGACGTCAAATTGTATTGGAGAGCATCTGAGTTAGGTCAGAAGGTTTTATATGAAACAGGTTGCTTCGACGATGTTTATGAGATAACAGGAGAAGTTTCTCAGAAGATAAGAGACTCACTTGAATTTCCAAAAACTGGTCCGATTGGATGCGATAAGTTCGACTCATACGAAAAAATATACTATGTCGACCTTAACGCTGCGTACATGAGGTTCGTCCAATATATCCCGACTGGAATTCCAAACGAAGATGGTGAGTTCCCAGGAAGGAACTATACAGTTGGAAAAGTCATACAACAACTGTATGATATTAGGAAAGCTTCAAACCCCAAACTTGCAATGACATTAAAATTGCTTATGAATTCGACATGGGGTATTCCATTAAAAAACCTCAAGAGATGAAGAGTAAACATTATGAGAAGGTCGACAACTTTGTTGAAAGGTTTTCTCCTTTTGTTTTGAAATACGAATTTACCGAAGGTGAAAGTGGCTTAGTAACCACATTAAAACCTATTGTCGAACATTGGTCTTACCCTCAGTTCGCAAAAGCAGTCCTTGACAACTACAACAAATTCTTCTCCGAAGTCAAATCGAAAGTGAAGGTTTACTATGAGAACATCGACGCACTCATGACGAACGAAGAAGGCTATAACAAACTCATTGAAATGGGTTTAGTTGGTGAGAAAATGGGCTGTTTTAAGCTAGACAAGGTATTTTCCGAAGTTCATGTTCTCTCCAAGCGTAAGTACTGGGGTGTACTTGAAGACGGCACAGAAATAAAACATTGCATGAAATAGTAAAACATTGCATGAAGTAAAAACATTTTTTTAAAACAGTATATTTTTACATATATTAAATGTTTCAGGTTGAAAAACAAAGAACAAAAGTAGCAGATACAAAACCGTTAGACTATATCTTCACAAATGCCGGTAGGACTATATCAGATGAAGAAATTTCATCCGGTGCTTACAGGTTTGACTTTCCAATTCGTTGGCTTCAAAGTCCTTCAGATGCAAAGGCAATAGGATTTAGAAGAGTTTTGTTTTCAAAAAGAACTAACGCTTTTATGTTCGCAGTATATTTTCATGGGCAGTATAGAGGTGATGATGGTCTAATAGACAAATTTGACGAAATGAGAATCTTTACAGTTCGTTCAGACGAAAACCTTGAGAAGACTCTAAATGACTTTCAAACTCAAATGAACAAATATTATTGGGAATTGCAAGAAAAATACGACTCTCTACTAAACGGAACTTACTATCTGAAACTAGAATATGACAAGATGAACTCCACAGTTTCATTTCAAAGGATTGAAAATAACCCTCGAAGAAGTACACAGTTTTTATTTTGGGAAGTAGACAAACGTTCTTGGGCACAATTTCTTCGGTTACTAAACCAGAACGAACCATTACCACCTGACGGTCCGTTTAAATTTATACGCCCACCAACAGATTTGACAGTTTATAGAAATGTGTTTGACCCTCAAAATGTCATGTGTCATGCAAGTTTCAGTTCAAGCAACAACAGTTTTCTATGTATCGGTAAGGACTTTTATGACTTTGCTTCTAAATTCTACGAACCACCTAGTAACAGTTTCTCTGACTTTCAAGTCTGGTTCACAACAAATGGTGTGCAGCATATTATTCCATTATACTACGACTTTTATCTCGAATTGTCTTTCATATACAACTACGGAAAAGTGCTGAAAAAGTATTGAAAAATATATTTTAGGGTAGAAGGGTATATCTAACCTGTTTTCTAACCTGTTTTCTACCCTCTTGAATTTTCATGAATTTTGTGCTGAATTCGACAAAAATGAGTTTTTGGTTGAAAGAATACGGTGGAGCCAAAAGTGGCTCGACCTCAAAACAAGCATTTTGTGAAGAATATACCAACCCGCGGAATTCCGCGGGTTGCTTTTTATACAAAGTTCAACAGGTGAATTTTCATGAATTTCCTTAAGATAGAAAAAAAGTGAGTTAAAATGAGATGTTTACTGAAGGTGTCACCATGTCACTCGGTCATTTTAACTTCTCTGAAAAAGTGTGACAACATGACATTTTGACAACAACACAGGAAATAGATTTCATCGTATATTTTTTGTTAAGACTTCATCGTATATGTTTTGTCGAGACTTCATCGTATATGTTTTGTCGAGATTTTTATCGTTGTGGTCCGACGGTTAAGCCACAAACGAATGTCCGACGTCCCACCAAAAAATATTTTTTATTTTTATTGTAAGAACAGAAATGTCAGTCGAAGCAAAAACGTTCACGAACAAATCTAATGGCGAAACATTCACAAAAGGCACTTACAACGGTATTGAAGTCTTACGTAGAGACAAGGATGGTTATATAAATGCAACAAAGATGTGTCAGCAGTTTAGGAAGACTTTAGAAGGTTGTTGGAAAATAAGTCCTGGGAAGAGTATTTATACGGCATTTTGTGAAGAATATACCAACCGCCGGAATTCCGACGGTTGCTTTTTATACAAGGTTCATGCAGGAATTCCTGATGAAATCAAACAGGTTAGAGGAACGTATGTAGACCCAAGACTCGTAAACTATATAGCAATGTGGGCTTCTCCAAAATATTGCATAGCAGTTGGAAAAATTCTGGACTCCATAGACAAGAAAGTTCATGAGAAGTTAGATGAAGAAGAACTTGAAGATACAGTAGAGAATGCAAAACCTTTGTTTGAAGAAGAAGTTAGAAAAATGCATGAAAAACAAATAGAACATGAACGTGAGATATGTTCTGGTTATAGAGACTCTCCATACGAACTAGACCAATGGGAACAAGAAGATTTAAAGAGAGAATTTAGAGAATATGAACTCGCTAAGATAGCATTAGAAGCTGCAGAAAAGAAGTTAAAAGCTTGGGGTTGTTTTGTACAAAAATATTGTGAGTAAATGAACCATTTTGTTGCTGAATTCAGCAAAAATATATTTTAGGGTAGAAGGGTATATCTACCCCGTTTTCTACCCTCTTTTCTACCCTCTTGAATTTTCATGAATTTCCTTAAGATAGAAATAAAGTTGGTTTTTTTAAAAAAATATTTTTTTATTTTTATTGTAAGAACATGTTAGCAACAACTTCACCAAACTCGTTAGTCATGAACCCAACTTCAATGTTAGTAGAAATGAAAAGCTTCATTCCTTCTTCATATACTTTCGAAACAGAAATCCAGAAGATAAAGCAAGAACTTCTCCAAGGAGATTTAGACTGTAGTGCAAAAGATGAAACAAATGAAGAATATCTTTATGAAATGCAGGATATTATTGACCATCTACCTAAACTTCCTGAAATACAGCAACAAAAGCTCACTATTCCAGAATTCGATGAAATAGAAGTGAAACCAACTGACTCAGTAGAAATAAAGAAGTTCATACGTAAGGTAAACTATGAGTTTCTTGGATTTCATTGCAACCACAAAGTCATGGACAAAGATTGCGATATGGTATATAAGAACATCTCTGACATATATAAATCTGAAGAATTTAAGACCTACGACAACTTTGTTTCGTTAGTTGCAAAATGTGTATGGCAGATAAGAGATAAAGATAGAAGAGGTAAGATATGGAACGAACAGATAAAACCAGCAACTTTTGAGTTAAAGAAAACCATTGACGCCTTAGTCATACTAGCAGGTAAGGTTTCAGAATATAACGCAAAAATGAACCCACAATGTTCTAAATGTAAAGCAGCAATGAGGAAATATAACTACTCCGTCAAAGAGATAGAACGTATGCGAAACGACTATGCTGACTTAAAGAAAGAAGTAGAGAAACCAGCAGAAGATAAAATGGACATGTTAGAATTTCTGAACAAAAACTATCCAACTGCTGACGATTTCCTTCTATCTGACGTCAAGATGAAATATAAAGATACATTCAATATTGTTAAAACATTCGATGTACTGACAGAAGAAATAGAAGCTACAAAACTGTTTAGAATTTCACGAATTCACAATGTTTACCATGTAAAACGCTTATAAAATAACTGGGGTAGAAATGAGGGTAGAAAACGGGGTAGATATACCCTTCTACCCTAAAATATATTTTTGCTGAAAAAAATGACCAAATTTCATTATATAACTGTATTTTTTTGACGAAGAGAACTTTTGACTTCGTAAAAAACTCTATGAATATATATCTTTTATACAAAATTCAAGAGGGTAGAAATGAGGGTAGAAAAAACGGGTAGATATACCCTTCTACCCTAAAAATATTTTTGCTGAAAAAAATGACAAATTTCATGAATTTCCTTAAGATAGAAATAAAAAGCTAGTTTTTTTAAAATATTTTTTTTTATTTTGTATGTAAGAACAGGAAATGTCAAACACTAGTGTTGAAACAGTTAGAAAGATAGACAATGACACCAAAATGGTTAGAATTGGTGATTTAAACGTAAGATACTCAAAGAAAGAATACAACAAATATTCTTTGTCAGACATTTAACACTATCTGAAGGAAAGAAAGCACACGACTGGGTTAAAAAATGCTTCAACTCAGAAAATTTTGACAAGAAATCCTGAGCTTATGATATCGGTAAGATTCTATGGAACAAGAACATTATCTCATCGACAAAAGTCTTATACCAGTAGTTTTGTTCTGGATTGACCAGTTGTTGGATATAATTTCATAACATATGGTTCATTCATACTGAACGTTGCAGTGAAGGCTTACTTTATATCGTTCAGAAACCAAAGGACTTCAATACAAAGAGATATAAGATAGGAAGAACATATAATATAACTCAAAGATATGACAGTACAGTCAATAGAGTTAAGGTTGTGTTTGTTAACGATATGAGAGCTGCTGAAACAGAAACTACTCGAAAAGTTTGAGAAAATGTATGGTGCTCCCACGAAAGGTAAAGAAACGTTGAAGTAGATGAGAAGATAGTGCTATAAAATTATTTGACGAAGTTGCTGAAAAATACATGTAAAGCGTTTATTTTTGGTCTTTGTGAAAGTCAAAATAACGCTAATTTTATTTTTTTTTATTTTTTTATTTTGTATGTAAAGACAGATATGTCAACAACCGAGAACACAACAACAGTTATAGTCCATGAAGCTATAAATGAAGAATATGAGTACATACAGTATAACAAACAGTTTACGTCTCATTCGTTCTGTCAAAGACGATATGTACCAAATGCAAAGTATTTTGACAGCATGTTTTGCTCCAGATACTAAGAAACCACAAGACTGGTTTAGGAACCAAAGCACACAAGAACTTTTGAGCGAAGCACAGCGAGACATACTTTTTCTGAAAACAGTGAAGAACAGCGACTACGAGAAAAATCTTACTCGCCAAACTCTATGAAACAGTGAAGAACAGCGAGTAAGTAAAAAACCCCAGTCGCCAAAACTCTATGAAATCGTGAAAAATTGCCAAACGGTTTGAGAGGATATTATGTACATAGACTTCTTGTAAATGCGTGTTGCAATGTGGGCTTCACCTCGTTACGCTTGGAATATTTACAGACTTCTTGACGAAATTCATAGACAAGAACGTGAAGAGATGGAAAACAAGCTTGAAGCAAAAGACAAAAGCCTTCAGAAAAGAATACCACGTTCGTACCAAAGGAAAGGAAAAGAACTATAAGTATATGATTTACACTGAAGAGATGGAAAATGAAGAAGACAGAGATATGGTTATGTTGCATTTAGTCAGAAGAAACAACACAAAAGCTTTTAGACCTTGCTAAGATTTACAAATCTGACAGAATATTGGTTCTATCGCGAAAACTTACCGATTTCAATGACACCAAATGAAGATGTTAAACAGATAGTTCAAGATACGTTACCTCAAACACACTATGATATTAAAGGTTGTACAATACTTACCTTCAAAGAAGATTTGCCATTGTTAAAGGAAAAATAACAGAGTATTTGACAACTTCAAACAAGCAGAGTAAATGAACCATTTATTTTTACGCTTGACTTCAGATGGCTCAGGTAGCTCTATAAGGTAAATTGTCTTGTCAAATCCTTCTGGCATTCCAAGTTCTTCCTTCCGACATTCCGAGTCCTTCCATCCGACATTCCGAGTCCTTCCTTCCGACAAGAAAAAAATTTCCGACAACTGGAAAAAAATTTCCCGACAACTGGAAAAAATTTTCCAGTTGTCCGTCCGTAAACCATTCAAATTTTCGAAAATTGAGAACTTTTTTCCCGACAACTGGAAAAATTTTTCCCGACAACTGGAAAAAAATTTCCCGACAACTGGAAAAAATTTTTCCGACAACTGGAAAAGTTCTTCTTCCGACAGGACACAAACGAATGTCCGACGTACCACCAACCGACAGCCCAAAGCCAGAAGAACCGACAGCCCCAGCACCACAACAGACTAAGACCAAAACACTTACATTTTTACGCTTGACTTTTACAATTTGAACTTTGTTCGCGTAGATGTGAATTCTGAAAGAAGTATGAGGGTCTTGTATGACTTTGTACTTCTCCCATAGTTCATGTCTGTCAAACTTACCTGCCATGGACTCTTTCATAAGTTCCATGAAATCGTCTTCGGACAATCCAGGGAAAAGTATGATATCAGTAAGTATTCTTTTAACATCCTTACTTAAACTCTTTGCTGTCTGTACACAAATGACAACTGAGATGTTAAAGTGTCTGAGCTTCTTAAGAATTCGACACATATCTTGTTCTCTGTTCTTTAACAAAGGATGAGAAGCAAAGTCATCTAAGATAAGAAGACACCTATGAGGGTATGTCTTCCAATCGTAAGATTGCAATTTCTTTCGAAATGTATTCTATCTCTTTCTGTTTGTTTCTGAAGTGTTTCTTCTCTAATATTCTCTGCATTTCCTCATTTGGGTCTTTAAACTTAGAATACATACTCATTTATAGCATTGTACTTCAAAACTCTTCTTTGTACTTCTTTATTCCAATCCAACAACTCAGAGTCTTTTTATACATACTAACTTAGACTTTTTATAATATCTTTGAACGAATTGACGGTTTGGTCAAATTGACCAGAAGTACTACAAATGACTACTAACTCATAGAATGGGTTCTTCTCATCTAGTTCTTGTTGTTGTGCAGCCATTTTAAGATAAGTGAAAGTCTTACCCGACCCAGGCGGTGCGATTAGACCTGTTATACCATTCTGAGCAAATAAGAACTTGTCATGTATAGGCTTTATCTGAGCATTTTCTAACTTCCTCTTGTTCTTGTTTAAAACATTCTCAAATTTCTTGTCAATGTCAGCAAACTTTTTTTCTAACATATTTTTAGAAAAATTAAAATTTTATCTTTTAGAAAATGTCTAGCGATTTCGCTATCTATATTCGAGACAAACTTTTTGACAGCAAAACATCTGTCGACCATAAAATCTTACATAGTGTAAACAAGAAAGGTGAATTTGTTCTAAAGTTCTGTTTCTGGGAATATGACAAGAACCATAAAACATTAAGCAGAGAAGTCTTAAAATTTGTCAATGACAGACTTGTTGACAGAGATGACGCCTCTTGGAGAGATGAAGTCCAACAAAAGTTCTTAGAATGCAAAGAAGACACATGCGCTGTTCTTGAAGATGAAATAGGAAACAGAATAGAAGAGCTATTAAAGGACAAAGAACTTTTACATAAATATGGTTCTGAGAAATTTGACATAACTCCACCAGAAAAGAAGAAGAAAGAGAGAAGAAAGAAAAGAAAGTAGAAGAAGAGAAGAAAGAGCCAGAGCCAGAGCCAGAGAAAAAGAAATTTGACATGTAAAAAAAATTTTATTTTTAGAACATTTCTGGGTCAATGTCAATGTTCTCTTCCTCTTTAGGAGCAAACACTGGCTTAGACTCTAAAATCTTTTTACCCAATTTACCTTGAACTTCAACTATCTTAGACTCATAATATTCATAGTCGTCTGCTTTCTTTGGTTCATAAGGTATAACAAGTTTGTATGCTTTGCCTTCTTTAAGGTTTGAAAACCTTCTGTCAAAATTTTCTTGACTGCTAACAAACCTTCTATGTCTAAGTCTTCAAATTTCGCACCATTTTTAGTCACAATAGCAAACTTAACTGGTTCGATGTTCCAAACTTTGTCAAATGTAGACTTTTCAAAATGGTAGAAGTAAACATTCAAATAAGCGAATGGGTCTAGTTCTTCTTTGACTTCTGTCATGTACTTGTTGACTGAAATATATTTCGTCATCTTTTCTATCGGATAAAAAAATATTTTTTTTAAATTTACTCAGAAAAATTTTTCTTTGTATATACGCCGTTCTGTATGTCTAAAAGATTTTTGACATTTGCCAAGAATGTTCGTTTAGACGCTGCCATATAACCATACTCTTGACAATACTGTTTATATGAATCGTACAATGACCTTTCATCTAAACACTCAAAGTTAGTCTCATCTATAAACAGTTCATATACACTCTTGTTTGCTTCTAACAATGTTTGTCTCTCTTCGGTATATGGAATTTGTCTTGGATTGAACTTAGAAATATCTAATGTCATGAAATATGAGAACAAGTGGTTGTAAAAGTTAGGTGTCAAAGTTTCTGCTAAGTCGTCAAAATATTCTGTATCTTGCATATGAGCTTCTGACGTTCTGACAACTACATATCTTCTGTCAGAACTTTCTAACTTCATCGGAACGGCGTTGTTTGAAACCATGATGAAATTTGCAACATTTTCACAAACTCTTTGGTCTTTATATTTTCTTTCAACAACTCCAACTTTGTCTGTTATAAGACTCTTCAAAGCATCTGAGTTCAAAACTTTTGTTGTATCTATACTTTGAAGTTCGTTACATACTATAGTTTCATATTCTCTATTGAAGAGTTAAATTTACCGCAGATGTTTCTAAGTTTGTCATATTCGGATTCGAATAGCCCTCTAACAGTTTGCATAAGATATCTGTAAAGAAAGTGTTCTTACCAGTTCCTTGTTTTCCAATTATAATGAGAGCAGTTTCATTTTTAGCACTTGGATGTTGTAAGATGTTTGCAAACCAACATAAGATATACTCATAGACTCTTTCGTTTCCATTGCATATAATTTCTTTTGACATGGTCTAACCAAGCTTCTATAATATTTTCTTTCCATTCTACTTGTTCGTATTATATCCAGTGAAGATAGAATAGAAGTTTGGAGAAGGTGTATAAAACTTTATACCACGAACTGAAAAATCTTCTAACTTTGACAATAAGATATCCCAAGCATCTAACATCTTCATGCCAACTTGTACAACTTTTATTTTCTTAAGTTTCTGTTTACATTCTTGTTCTGAAACTATTGTTGCTCTTGGTTTGTTAAAGACAACATCCCATTCTTTCATAACATAACATTCTGGGGCAGAGTCAACATAAATGACTAAACGTTTCAAATTCTCGACTGCTTTGTTATAGTCTCGAAATGGACACATATTTCTGAATGCTTGGAAGTCATAAAAATCTGAAACATCTATTCTGTACATTTTTATAAAAATAAAAAAAAATATTTTTTTTATTCTTGACTTTGTTCTTGAGCTATTTGTTGCATTTGTTGTTCTTGAGCTATTTGTTGTTGAAGTTGTTCTTGTAATACAATACTTTCACCAGTTGCATCTTCCAATTCGAAACTTTCTGCCGTCATTGACAAATACATAGGACATAAAAGTTTTACAGGAACAAAGTTTGCGTCAACTAAGGTTAAGTTTATGTTTGCTAAAGTGTTTGAGTTTACTAAAGCTGAAAACTCTGCATTCGAATGAACAATAGGCAAACCAGCAGAGAAAGTGTTGTTTTATACGCATAAGTATCTTTTGGTCATAGTAGTTTCTGTCGACATTCGAATAACACTTTGAACCTAAGTTTGAAACAATATATAAAATAGGTGTACTTAAAGTCAATGGAACAGACATTCCTTGTATGACACCTTTTCCTGTTATAGGAAACTGTTGGTAGTAAAAACCAGATATAAGTTTTGTATTATAGCTCATATTGTTTATAGTAAACTCAGTCGACATCCAAACATAATGAAACCTGCTCTAGTTGCAGCACATGTTACACTCGTCCTTAAAGTATTAAATAAGTCAACAAAACCTGTTGGTGGTATATCTGAGTAAGTATCTTCAAAGGAGTATTTTTACCATTCACAACAATAAAATCTTTCTGGTGTCAAAAGAGCAAAAACAGGCTTTAGTCGTCATTGTGTTTAAAGTTAGTTTACAATATCGTCCTTGAGGACTTTGTAAGTTTGTTGTTATAGAATTATATTGACTCAGGGTTTTTTAGTCGTAATAGTATAAACCACTATGTCTTCTGCCATTTTACTTAGCAAATAAATTTTAATGAAATGTTGTGGTCGTCAAATATTTTTATAACGTCTGGGAAACTATATTTTAAGTTCAACGTTTCACCTCCTTTCATAAACGTATATCTTGTCAATGACATTATATGAAACACCACAGCAACTAATGTCGGGTTCTATTTCTTTTGATGTTTATATCGTCTGCCTCTGTCAAAAGTTTCAATAGTTCTTTCAAAATTTCATGAGGTGCGATGACATATGAGTTCACTTTTACAGGGTTGTGTTCGACCAAGTTTAACATTATACCTAAAGCTGACAAATCTTCTCCTGAGTTTTAAGTTTGTCTTTAAGTTGTTGGTAGTCGTTTCGAATATCTGCAACAGAACTTAAGTCTCTGCTAACTTCAGGATATGTTGGTTGTTCTTTTACAGGAACAATTGTTATACCATCTTCGTCTTCGTATGGTTTCCCCACTTCAACATCTCTTTCTTTGACATTGACAACAACACTTGACTGTTTGTTTGAGTTGGTGAATTTAACTTCACATCTGCCACCGCCATTAAACCTTTTGAAACACTCACGCTTCTATTTTTCGGAAATGACATTTTACTTAGAATAAAAGATGGACGTATTCGAGTATCTCTTCGAATTGAAGCAGAACAAAGTTTACACACACAAACAATACAAATACATTGACAGAATAGTTCTTTACACAAACAATGGAAAATGTTATAGAATAGCAGTCTTTGCTGAACCTAAATATTTTCATAAAGCAAAAGAAAGTTGGTATAACCGAGATGGTGAAAGTTCTTGACGTGACAAAGATATAACAACAAAACTTACAAGATATTTCTAAAGGTAAGTTTATAATACAATTTTATGTCAAAACTGGCGTACTGTCAATATTTGACGGAGAGAAGTCAGTTCAAGAACAACTTACTGACCTGCTGCCAAAATCTGCTCGATGGAAGCTGTCGTTATGCCAATCTGAGGAGCCCCAGCAGGTTTCATCGAACGAATCTTCAAAAGAGCATCTTCCGTGAAAAGTGCTATTGGTTTTGTAAACTTCTTTGCTTTCAATTCATCTGGACCGTCTCTGTCACCAGTATATTGTATTTGTACAGTACCAACAGTTGAAATACCACCCATAAAGTCTTTCTGAGTCAGCAAATGGAATGCCAAGCCAAAAGTTTGAACGGTCTCCATTTGTATATTGAGTTTTTTGACCTCCTGTATGAGTCCATACTTTCACATATGGCATAATAGAACTTTGCATTTCAGGGTTAATGGTTGTTGTGAAGTTGTTGTTAAAGTTCATAGCATCTAATGTCAAGTTGTATGACCTCATATCCTCAACTGTAGAATATTCTTCTCTTGGATAATATTTGCCATCTATGTTTATATGATATTTAATACAGGGTTGTAGAAACAAGAATAGTCATTTATAGTTCGTCTGAACAGTACAAACATAGTATCTGCATGTTTCATTGCAGTTGTTAAAGCAATATCTGTTCTTGCACCTGGGTCAGCACTTTGGTTTCCAACTTCACCTGCAAAGTCTTTGACAGATATTTGGTGTATAGGGAACATAAGTGGAACTGCCAATATATTTGGCAGCTAAAGCATTTGAAATATCTGGGTCCAACATATAGACTGCAAGTCTGCTTTCTATCTCTTGCATTCAAATTTTTCGCATGTGAACTTAACTGGGTCCCAAGCAGTTCCAGCAGCATTGAAATAATAGTTTACTTCAGTGTTGAGGTTTGAAAACAAAGTCTAAGTCAACTTTTGTCTTTGCAAAAGTCGGCGAATGACGTTTTATTTGTTCCCGTTACGTCTGTAAGAGTGAATGCGGTCTTGTGTGTTTGGTGCAATGACTAAGTTATTTTTGCTTGAGTAAGTTCAATAGAAATTTTTCCTGCCCAGTTTGGCAAGTATCTTAAAAACCTGAAGATGAGGAAAGATGACAAAGGAACTCTAAGTTTCAGTTTTACTTTAGTGGCAGCAGTTCCATCTGAACCAGAAAGGTTAACATAAACTCCTGGAACGTTAGGGTCAAGTCTTCTTATTTTCTCAATAGTTGCATACTGGTCTGTTTGTTCTCTCGCTTGTGGTTGTACTGAGTTTCTCAAAGCGAACCATTCATAGTTTGCCCATGTTACTGTTTGAACTAAGTCAGAGTTAGAATATATCTTATATCCCATGAAAACTTCTGGAGCATATTGGTATCCGACATAGAAAATTCCATTGCAACCTTTCTTGTCAGACAACTTTGGCAGAAGGTTTTATTTCAATGTCTTGTTCCACGTATAAGAATGAGTTGTCAATAGAAATAATATGAAACCTGTCGCAAGCAATATCTACTGTTGTTGAAGAACCTTCTCCAAACTCACCTACATTTCCATAAGAAACAGCAGTTGTATATTCGTAAGTTCCAGGAACTATTTCTGACCTTCTAATGGCATTGTCGCATTCGTTATACCATTCGAAACATTTCCATTCATGGCATCCAAAACTGTTGGCGTTATATTCTGAGCGGCGTACATTTCATATGAGTAAAAATATAGAATAGTTGGATTTATATGTCATAATAGAACCCACGTGGACCAAGCTTTACTTTCTTCCTGACTGAGTTTTTAACTCTTCTTTTTCCTTCATTGCCCTCTGCTTGAAGTTGTTGCATCTTTGCATTATGTTCATCTAGTATGTTGCAAATTTCCCATGTCCTTTTTGCCTTTTGGCTCTGGTCGCCCATCTCAGGTAACCTATATCCTAGAAAGAGTTTGTCATAGTCTGTATTTGAGTCTTTGCGTATTGTTTGCATGACTCTTTCCTGAGTTTCTGGTTCAAGCTCTTCAAACAGTGCCTGTCCATATGGAATATGCTCGTTTCCAAATATATGTTTTTGTAGCCATTCTGGTTTTCTTTCCATGTTACCAACAATATCTTTTGTGAATGGGAAAGCTTTTACCCAATCTTTCAGTCTTGCGTCGTTTATTTCTGTAGTTGGTTTTATTTTGTCAAGGAACATGTTTTTCAATACTAACATTTCATTTGGTACTGTCCATTTGAGTTTTCTTAAATATTCATCCCTTCTCAGTTCATTGTCTGCAAAGTAAGTTTTTATGACATTTTGTAAACTTTCATTTGCAAGGTCATGTACAATAGGTTCTCTTCCTTCGCTCTCCCTAACTTTCTTTCTAAACTCTTCACCAAATATACCATCTCTATGGTTCTGTGTAGTTCTTTGAGATAAATGTTCTAGAACGTCAGGTGTTATATTTCCATCAGCCATGTTCATTTCATACTGGTCCAAAATATCTGCATGTTTCATATCTTTCAATGGCATTAAAGCCGCGCTTAAAATACCAGCTATATCTGGTTCACCATTGACTTCCATTGCGTCTACAACTTCTTGGAATTGAGGTTGTAAGTTTATGAACCACCTATCTGGATTAGCTTTATGACCCCATCTCATTGTAGTTCCATCGTCTGCAGAAACAAAAGTAGGTTTGTTTCCATCTTGGTTAGGTTCTGAATGAACTTTAAACAATGTTTCATTTCTATATGTTTTCTTGAAATTTAACCTTTTATTTTCACCGAGTTCATCGAAGATTGAACGTTAAATGCTCGTAAGTAAAAAGGGTTGTTGTATTTGTGTACATTTTTTTTCAGTTCTTCCATTCTATGCTGAATATTTTCATCTGGTGTTGGAGTCTTTTGTATGTCGGCAAACATTTTTCGATATTCTTCTACTATGTCAGCCGAATTTTTTTTAGACTCTTGGAAATATTCCATATTCTCCGCATACTCTTGTTGAGGGTCAAGATTTTTCGGCTGTTCCAAATCTTCATCTAGTTCTGTGAAGTTAGTTTCCAAAGGAAGGACTTGTTCGTTTCCTTCAGGCTCTTCTAGCTGTTGTTGCTGAACTATTTCTTCCATGTCTGGTTGTATCTGAACTTCTTCCTGTGGAGTTTCTTGTACCTCATCTGCTGGCATTTCATATATTCCGAGACCGTTTTCAACAATTTCCCTATCTACGTCATCCGCATTCATAAGCTTTTGTTCTTTCGTTCCGTCTCTATTTTTTACGCGTTTTCATGACGAAAGTTGAATTGTCATTTAGCTCTGACATCAAATATCTCGGAGTAAATTCGTTCATGTCATTTGGATGATATGCTATTAAATCATATCCCTTAGCGAGCTTGTATTTTCCAGGTTTGAGATTATATCCGTTTTGGTGCTGAGCCATAAAGCTAAATAGGTTCGGGTCAGTATTTCCATCCTTGAACTTTCTAATAGCTTCTTTATATCTGTCACTAAAGTCAACAGTATCTGGGAAACCACACTCTTCTTTAAGCATTTTTAAGAATTCTTGGTTTCCTTGTTCTCTACTTCTTTTATGTCCTTGCTCTGTTTGTGGTTGTTGTTGTGCAGGGTTTTGAAACTGTTGGTTGCTGTGCTGGTTGTTGTGTTGGTTGTTGTGCTGGTTGTGGAGGTGGTTGTTGTGCATGCCTGTGTCTGTGTCCATGTGACGATGTAAATGTTCTAGGTAGTCCTGGTGCAGGTGCTTCTCTTGGAGGGTTTGGTGGTATATAAGTTCCACCAGCTGGCACATATGTTCCATCTGCAGCGTAATGTCCTACCTGACTTTTCGTTTTTAAGAAAGCATTTACTAGGTCTGTTTTGGTCTGTTGTAACTCTTTTTCTTGACTTTTCACAACAGTTGCTCTAACGGCGTCATAGGCACTTTGAACTGCCTGTCTCGTTGCTGCATCTGTTATTTTCGTCATATTTTGTGCTACTTCTTTTAACTCTTTGTCGAAACCTTCAGACTTCAGTTTCTTTCCAGATGAGAAGTCGTTCACTTGTTTCACCTTACTATGAAGAGCTTCGAAAGCGTTCTTAAAGTCAGCATTTGTTAAAGCTTCATTTGAACTGTCTTCATCCGCTTGTATTTTTGTCCTTATTGACCCTATGAGTTGGGCTGCTTTAGCGTTGGCTTGGGCATCTAACCAGTCATTGTTAGCTTTTATATATTCTGCGCTTTTCATTGCCTTTTGCATGGCTGCGTCGTTATTTTTACTTTCTTGTGCTAAGTTTTCATACTGTACGGTTTGGTTTTGCAACTGTAAAAGTTTTTCTGCCTTTACATTTGCTTCAACTTCTTTTATATATACTCATCGCTATCCATATATGTCTTCAGGGCTTTTTGTTTTATCTCTTCATCTTTCAGTACTTTATATCGAGTAGTATGGTTTTTCAAATTTACAACATCTTGTTCCATTTTTGCTACTTCTGCTGCTTTTTCTGACACTTTTTCGCATATTCCTCTGTACTTAGTTCTTTCAGTTGTTCTTCTTTCTTCTTTTTCTCTACGTTTAACTCATTGAGTTTCTTTGTGTGTCTGTCATATTCTAGTTTCTTTTCGTTTTCACTTATTTGCTTCTGTATGTCTATGTTTGACTTTTTGACATCTGATATTTGATTTTTGAGTGAACTCAAATTCATTTGACTTTGAGGGTTATATGCTGTTCCGTCTGCAGCTCCACCATAGCCTGCCATTTTCGCTAAAAGTGCCGCTCTTAAACCTCCACTCTGTGCACCAACAACTCGGTTTAAAAGCATAGGATTGCTTGACATTTGTTGCAACATAGTGGGGTCATTCATCATTTGTTGTTGCAACTGTTGTTGTGGTGTCAGTTTTACTATTGGATGTTTCAATGCTCTCTTCCTCTTACGTATATTCTTACGTATCTTACGTGGCATTTTAAGTGAAGTTAAAAAGCGGTTTTTGACAGATGTTTTATTGTGACTTCTTCGTAAAGACTTTGTTGAGATTTCTTCGTAAATGACCCAAAAATATATTTTAGGGTAGAAGGGTATATCTACCCCGTTTTCTACCCTCTTTTCTACCCTCTTGAATTTTCATGAATTTCTTCGTAAAGACTTTGTCAAGACTTCTTCGTAAAGACTTTGTTAAGACTTCTTCGTAAAGACTTTGTCAAGACTTCATCGTAAAGACTTTGTTGAGATTTCTTCGTAAAGACTTTGTTAAGACTTCTTCGTAAAGACTTTGTTGAGACTTCTTCGTAAAGACTTTGTTGACTTCTTCGTAAAGACTTTGTCAAGACTTCATCGTAAAGACTTTGTTGAGATTTTTCGTAAATGACCCTAGTAGTATATTTTTGGTGTAAATTTCATGAAAATTCAAGAGGGTAGAAAAGAGGGTAGAAAACGGGGTAGATATACCCTTCTACCCTAAAATATATTTTTGGGTCATTTACACTCATGAACTTTCTTGTCTATGTTTTGTTAAGACTTCTTCGTAAAGACTTTGTTGAGACTTCTTCGTAAAGACTTTGTTGAGACTTCTTCGTAAAGACTTTGTCAAGACTTCATCGTAAAGACTTTGTTAAGACTTCTTCGTAAAGACTTTGTTGAGACTTCTTCGTAAAGACTTTGTTGAGACTTCTTCGTAAAGACTTTGTCAAGACTTCATCGTAAAGACTTTGTTGAGATTTCTTCGTAAATGACCCTAGTAGTATATTTTTGGTGTAAATTTCATGAAAATTCAAGAGGGTAGAAAAGAGGGTAGAAAACGGGGTAGATATACCCTTCTACCCTAAAATATATTTTTGGGTCATTTACACTCATGAACTTTCTTGTCTATGTTTTGTTAAGACTTCTTCGTAAAGACTTTGTTGAGACTTCTTCGTAAAGACTTTGTCAAGACTTCATCGTAAAGACTTTGTTGAGATTTCTTCATAAAGACTTTGTCAAGACTTCATCGTAAATATTTTGTTGAGATTTCATTTATACTCATTCATCCTCAGGGCTAGAAGGCACGAAGTGCCTGGAAGCCCCACTGCCTTTTTTTTTTTTTTTTTTTTTTTTTTTTTTTTTATTATACTTTGAAATATTGTTATCCGATCTTTTCTTTTAAAAACGGAATAGTGAATTTACACTTAATTCACATTTATATTCAGTGTGGAAAACGACAACATACAAATCTCCTAAATTATTCAAAGCTTGCAATTAAGAAAGGATCACACCATGATGAAACGATTTTAAATATTTACATCAAATGCAAATAAGCCATAGAAAAATAAACTATCGATCATACTTTTTCATTGACAGAGTTTTCATTTCATTTGATAAGTTTGGAATTAAAAACTCAAAGAATAAGGGGAATATTTTAGAAAATTTGCTTATGATGGAAAATTATATTAAATTCATTGTTATCTAATATAAATATTTTAAATTATATTTTTCAAATTTATTCAAGATCAATTTTTGTAATACCATTCTTATCGACAAGCTTAACAATGAATCCATGTGGAGCTACTGTAAATCTTTGCTTGATCTGATTTAATGCCAATTTCATGAGTTCTTTACCTTCTTCTAATGTCATACCTTCTTTGAAATGTTTATCAAAGACAGACATAACGAAATATTGGCAATAGCCCTGTGCACCATAAGGAATACTTTGCAATGTACCCAAATAATCCATAAAGTATAGATGTGGTTTTCCATCATAACCAGACAGAAGCATGTTAACTTCGTATGGACTCTTTCTTACAGCTTTAGCCATAGTATGTCTGATAAAGTGAGCAAGAGCATCGCTTGAGAGTTCAACACCATTTCTAAACTTATACAATGCGACATTTCCTTGAAGAAATTCGGATAATTGAAGGCAATCACCTGTTTCACCGGACATAGCTAACGCATGTCTGTCGTCTAATTGTGCAATTCGGTCATAGTTTTCGCTCATGCAGATAATTGAGGAAGAAACAGATGAGTCAGCTGCTATTAAAACCCAATCTGGTCCTTGAAGTCCAACAATGCTAAGCATTTTTTTTTTGAAAAATTCAATTTGACCCACTATTGAAAATCATTTTAATTGGATAGAAAATATTATATAGTTAATGTATCAACAGTTGTTTTTCGAAAAATGTCACTTTTGAAATATTTACTTTCTCTCTGAGTACAGATCTTGAAAGAAGCTTAGCCTTTCGTTCAGAACAGATCATAGTTGAAGAAGGATGTTATTTCGGAGTCCATGGTAAAATATTTCAATAAATTTATATTCATATTTAAAGCTTTGTTTTTCCCAATTTCTCTCCTTTACTTTCTTATTATAAATTAATCATAATTAAAAGACAAAGAAATATCTATTAGCATTGTAAGGAACAGTTCAGTTATTCTTTGTTATTCGAGAATTTATATTCTAGACCTCAATTGGATTCAGCAATATATGCATTTCTGGTTACCAATATGAATGCGTTACAGATATAATACATGTTCAATAAAAAAAAAAAATCGAAAGTAGAAACCAAAGCAAAGTAAATCAGATCTAATTCCTTTAATGAAGTAAAAAAAGGAAGTTCAATAATTTATTATATATTACTTTATTTTATTTTTATTTTTTAAATTTTTATAAATTTATTTCAGTAAATTTATAAAATGTTGTACATTTTTTCCATTAGATTATCACTAATTCTTGAAACCTGGTCATAGGACATTCCATTGATACGTTCAATAAAAGCTTTTTGTTTTGCAAAATCTTTTGGATATTTTTGGCAGAATTTTTCTCCTATTTCTTTCTTAAGTTTTATCGTTTCTTCATCATCGCCAGCGTTTTCAATTTCTTGCCATAGATCTTGCATTCTTTGTTCTGAATCTTCGTCATCTGGGTATTCACATAATTCTTCTTCCTCCTCCTCACCAAGAAATGCATTTTGATCTTCAGTGATTTCTTTTCTTAGATCTTCAGGGATTTCTTTGCTCATTCGAAAAAATGGTCACTTTTCACTTCACTTTAAAATTTTGAATGAAATTAGTTAAAAATATTAATTTTTAATACGCCATATATTTTAGAAAACTTGAGTTTTTTTTGTCAAAAATTTTCAAAATTTTAGGCTTCATGAGAAATTTTCATGAGGCATTCATGTCTTTCGTTAAAAAGATCAAAATTATTTTTAAATACTCGACCACTATCAGGTGAAGAAGAAAATAAATCTTTAAAACTCATAATTCCATAACTTCGGTGAAAATTCATATTACCCAGATTTTCCTTACTTTTACCACTCCCCATGTAATTTCTGGGGAAAACGATAATTCATTTTTTTATGGATGAATAGATCGTTTTCCTAGAAAGGACCTCATATCTCTGGCTAAAAAGAGTGTCAGATCCTAAATAGATTATTGATCTAGTGTACAAATCCAATAAAAAGCCTATTTTTTTGGCTTTTTTGGTGCTCATTTTTTCGAAGATCTACATGAATATGGGGAAACCATCGGATTTTTTTGGTTAACCCACATCTTCATGTAGTCTGGACTATCTTTCCTCGAAGGACCTCTTTACGGGTGTAAAAACTCATAAAGTTCTCAAAAGATTCATTCTCGATCTCCATGCTGAAAGAATTTACAATAAAAAAGAGATCTACGCATCAAACTACAGCCATAAATGAACTGAACCCCTAAAGCTCAGCTCTTAGTTTATCAAAAACGTCGAAATCCTTCTCATTGCAATCAAATTTTCTCAATAACTCATAAGAAAAATCGAATTTTGATTAAGCCGATGTTATAGGTATCACAAATACTACAAACTTGAGCAATATCGAAATTGCCAGCAAAAGTTTGAAATTGCATTGCTCATATTTGTTTTGTAAACTAAAAATCTGCTTATATTATTCATTAATTTTTTATATATTATTCATATACTTTAATAAAAACAATACTATTTCACCTTAAAAATGAATTTCATAAGTCAATATTATTTTTTTGAAAATGTATCAATTTTCGATTAAAACAACATGAGAATAAAATTTACGCAAAATTATTTTAAAAAATGGTTTTAAAAATTTACAATTGATGAAGACTAAGATTGCAAGAAGTTTTGAAGTTTAATTTTAAGAAAAAAAATTCGGATATTATTCATGGATCTAAGTAATCTGATATTTGAGTATCGGCACTATGCATAAAACATATATTTATAGGGCTGTACAAGATTTAAAAAAATATTGCCGGGTTACCGTAGAGGCCTAAAAAAATCGCGCCTCGGCGGCAAGCCGCCTCGGCATTAAGAATGCGCATCTAAATTTTTATATGTTCTTCTTCCTTTTATTTTTCCCTTCCCTTCCTTTTCTTTTTCTTTTTTCCCTCCTCTTGCTCTCATTTACCTTTTTTTTCCTTTTCTCATCATTTTTCAAAATTTAAAATTTTTATCAAAAATCTTGCCTATAAAAGCAGATTATGGAACCTTTTAATGCCTCTTAATCAATATTATACAGCATAAAGCATATTAAATGAAAGTAATTACGTATAAATTTATTTTATTATCTTATTTATTAATTCTTTAGCATGTATTGTTTAATATTAACTTTTCTGTACATTAAATATGATATCTCCAAAGTATGAATGCCTTGTAACGAAACGAAAACTTAATTTATGTTGAATATTTGTCACAAACATTAGATTATTAAAATATATGTTGGATATCCCTTAGTATGAGACTTCATGACTCTTGTTGTCTAACGTGAGCTTTGGATTGCAAGCTTGCTACAGCACAGAAGTATTCTGTGGTTAAAAAACCACATGAGCTTTAAAAACTATAAAACCAAAAATAATTGTTATAATTTAAATGAAGAAGTAATTTAAAACGATTTTATTTATGATCAAATTTTATATATTTTTTTGGATCAAATCCATTTTAATAGAATTTATATACTATTCATCTATTAGTAAACACTACCGTATATTATTTTTAAGCTATCTTATTTTTTGAAATTTTATTCAAATCTTTGGTCGCAAGAAGAATTGCATGATAAATAAAAACATTTAATCAAAGTCAATTTTATTTTTCATATTCAAATGGACTGAGTGTTAACATTTAACATTTTTGCTAATTGTCGTCAAAAATTAGGCGTAAAGCAAAAATTGATATTTCATATGGTTTTATGATAGATAAGCATTATATTCCCACTCATTATATTCGTAAATTTTGAGGTTTATCCTTCGCTTTTAAGATCATTGAATTTGATTTTTATATAAAATAGTTATATATTAGAAAATAATATGAGTTTATGTGATATTATTTTTCAGAAGATTTCATTCTATATGCCTATGAAAAGTACTCTCAAAACTAACTTTTTCCTAATTATAATTAAATCTAGAATATTGTATTATGCTTAGTATTATTTCATTTTTCTCATTCAATTTAGAATTTACAAATGTCAAAAAATTGAGAGCTGTCACTTTTGATGAATTTCTGTTTATTACAGCATTGTTATTAATAATGAAAAATAAAGCTTATTTCAATGAAAATTGTTCTGCAAATTTATTTCACTTTTGACCTCACTTTTTCCGTAATTCAATTTTTTACTTTTAATATTTTAGATCTTCATAATATCATTTGAAAAATTAACCATATAAAAAAATCAAGTTATCAATTCACTTTTTCCGTAATTCAAAAATCAAAAATATAAATAATATATCTTTTATCAAATATTATTATTATATTCTATGAAAAATGAGGTCCGGAAATTTTGCGGATTCCCGTAACTCAATTTTACGGAAAAAGTGCAGTAAACTATTCAAAATACGGAAAAATTGGTGTAAACTAATGATTTTACGGTAAAATCACGGAAAGTCCCGGAAGAATATATGTGCCTATATGAAATTATACAAAAATGAATCAAACGCATTTTAAAAGATTGTTCTTGTATTATAAATGCTATTCGCAGATTTATTAGTTGAAGAAAATTACCAAATTTTTGCCGATTTACAAAAAATGATTTACAAAGCATATTTTTATAAGGCTTTAAAAATCTTTAAAATGTGACCGGTGACGGAAATCCATGGTAACCAACCGCGGTTCCCGTTTGGAATGCCATAGCATAAAACATATATTTATAGTTTTTTTGGATTTTTATGATTTTAAATATATTCAAATTTGGCAATCCAATAGATTTTTAAAAAATAGGTAAATAAAAATAGATTACATATGCAGCAGATTTAGAACATGAAACAAATCTTATAGTGACCCAAAAAAACTTCATGATCCAAAAAAGAAAAAAATTGGCTAAATGAGAATCAAACCTTGGCATAATGAATCATTATGTCGGATGTTTCCACTACACCGGCAGTTCGAAAAATACCCTTGGTGGTTCTATTTAATAGCTACTCCAAACGATAGGCGGTGTCCCCAGCTTTAGAGGGGTGGTAAAAGTAAGGAAAATCTGGGTAATCGACAAGATTGTGTCCATTTAAGTCTGAAGATTTTGCAAAGACCGACACTTCCAGAAAGCTTTTTGACCATTCCAAAAGCATTCATTAATTCTGCTAGGACAGCATATGAAAAGATAAAAGCTGCTGTTAAAAAGCGAAGTGTTGACATGAGCATTGTTGAAAACTATCCGAGTGAGAGAAAATGGAGGATGACAATGCTTTCGGCAATCTTGACATGTACAGATCGAAGAGTTCCATTAGTTCTTTATGACGAAGGATTTGCAGATTTCATTATTGAATGTCTTAATACTCCTGTCAAACTTGAAGTTAATTTGAGAGTTGTTCCTACATCATTTTCAAATTACAACAGGACATATCAAATCAGGAATGAAGCCATCCAGTTTATCCGCATTGTTTGCACGAAATCAAGATATGGGGATTCCGTTTTATCAAGTTTGGTTTCGCGAGTTCGAAATGGTGGCCTTTTACAACGTGAAGCTGATATGCTTCGTAAAATAGAAGATCGGGAATATAGGAAGACATGTATTTCACTATTGCAGGTTCTCTTTGATTCAGAAGAGTACTTCAACATCAATTCTATCATTGTCAACTCAGATTTTCTCATGGAGTTGAAAGAAGAGACACTCGTTGATTGGGAGAAATTCCAAATTCTGAAAAATGCATGGAATAAGAGCATGGATAATGTTATTAATGTTTATGGAAGAATCAAATGTCTTTATGACTCTATTGAATAACATTCTTTTTAATTTTTTGTTTTGTTTTGTAAATTTTTAGACTTTTTATAAGAAGTGCCTTCACTCTGGTTTTGAGATACGAACAGATAACATTCAGGAGTTAGAGTAAGTACCAGACCAAGAAGTAATATCTGTCACTAATACAGAATTATATTTGGTGAAGCAAAATTTAATATTTGAATTCTCATAAATTTAGTTAATTCTCAATAATAATCATCAATTCTAAAATTGTCATTGTCATATATAACCATATTATGATGTTAGATTGGTAAAGTAACTATATTCATGAACATCCAAATGTGATTTTGCCTCTTATAACCTATCTGTGATTTTTGCAGATGAAATATGTAATGAAATACGTTATATATGCTGAATATCTAAAAGTAACTCTAATTTAATCAAAAAATAAGAATAATGAGATTATATTCTGTCTTGAATATAAATCCATCTTTAAAAGAAGTAGAAATGTATCTATATTCTAATATAGGCTCGTTTTACAACTTAAATATAATGCAATTTGTAAAATGCAAATATCATTTTTTGTTTGTTTTAATAAATCAGGACCATACACCTCACATATAATTCTTATTGCAATATATATACATTGGTGCAAGAGTAACTATATATTATGATTACAATTATAAAAATCTCGTATCAGTAAAGTATAATATTTTTTGATTATATTATTCTATGATTTCATACAATACTACTATGAGAAATAAGTAAAGCCACAATTTAAAAGTAAAACTATCGATTTAAAAACTGTATAAACCATATATTTAAAGCAGAAAAATGATTTTATTGAAATTTTCGGATTTTTTTATATATTTAAATTGAAAATTGTATAGAATACTTTTCACCGTGCAGGTACACAATTATTTTTCGATTTTTTTTGGGAAAATATTAATGTTAATATATATACGAACTTGAAAAAGTGCGAATGTCAAAATTTTTTTGACACTTTACAAAAAAAATTATCGCCAAATAAACGATGGATATAGGGTTTTTAATATATCACAATATTATTTTTCTACTTATTTTTTTTAAAAAAAGTTCAAAATTGAGAGTGGAATCACTTCTTTTTTATATCATTAATAAAGCATTTTTAGACGTTTAATTTCTGTGTGCTTTCAAAGTCAGAGAATTATGTGGATTGAAATATGCCAAGCACGATGTGAACAATTATTTGTATTGATCATATATCGTTATATTACCATATATCCGTAAATTAATACACCTATCAAGGGTACGGAGGCACTGCGCGCCTCCTTACCCATTATATGTGAATTTGACACTTTACAAAACCATTAACGTATATTTTACAACACAAACGACAACACTAACTTAACCTTAAATATTTACAAAGCCGTCAACCACTTCACCTCACTAATGTAAAAAAATAAACGTTCTCACTTACAAAAGTATTGCAACTCCTCCCATTGCTGTGCTTCATATAACAGCTCATAATCTTCTGACTCACTTTCTTCTTCATATAGGTCAAAATCACTGTCATAGTTTATACCTGTAAGTTTTGACAAAGCTAATGAAACACGCTTACCGTTTGTATCATATGCTTGTATAAACTTTCCATTATGCTTGTAGTCATAAACGCTCAAACTAACTTTACCCTTTCTCCCTCGTATCTGATAGAATGTATTTTCACGAGGAACGAAGAACAAATTCTTGAACTCATGACCGTTGTAGTTTGTTATCTCAATAGTTTTCGTCATTTATATAAAAATAAACTTAAAAATAAAATAAAAAATAAACTTAAAAATTAATGATATCACCACTCCCACACGTATGAAAACATAGCACAAAAATAAATTTAGGTGAAGTGGTGAGATCTCACCTCTTTTTTCACATGTTTTTTCACCCTGTTGAATTCATTGCTTTATAACTCTCTTCCTTTATCCAACTCTTCTAACTTCTTCTTAAGTTCAGCAATGTTGTCCTCATGAAGTTTAATCTTTCTCAAAATTCCTTCTTTATCTAATGGTTGCTTTATCTTTCTAAACTGAACTCTACCATCCTTCATAGTATGAATGTAAAAACCTTCTGGAATAGTTCCTGATTTAATGTATTCTACCAAAAACTTTTGTTTCATTGCTTCAGTGACTTTATTTGTCATTTTACTCTAAGGTGAAGCTAGCACAGCGATAATGGATTTCATGACTTTTTAGTATTTCATGCAATCTTAACAGATAGCCTTACAAGTACTTCCAGTGTCCCTAGCTGTCCCTCCTTTTTATATAACTCCATGACATTTATAATCTCGCGAAACTTAACAGGTAGCATAACAGATTAAAATCAGATGAGGTTTTGAACCAAAATTTCTAAGCAACGTTGTCAAGGATTTTGAGGAACTAGGGACAGAGTGTGGCAAAGTCCAAGATTTAATTTATCTTCATCTGTTTCATCAGCTATCTCATCTAATATACCAATATTTTATTCATAACTCGTGGCAAACTCACTAACTTTCGTTATGTTCATCTGCATGCTTCATCTGATAGAAAGTATGACTTTCATTAACTCTGTGAGATAATGAAAACTACTAGGGACAGAGACCATGGCAAAGTTTATGACTTTCATTATTTCCAGAACTTAATGAAAACTACTAGGGACAGAGACCATGGCAAAGTTCATGATTTAATTTATTCTCTCACTAACAACAAACACAAACTCCAACACTAACGACAAGTACTAACCTCAGCACAAATGACAAAACTTCATCGTAAATGTTTTGTCAAGACTTCATCGTAAATGTTTTGTCAAGACTTCATCGTAAATGTTTTGTCATGACTTCTTCGTAAATGTTTTGTCAAGACTTTGTCAAGACTTCATCGTAAATGCTTTGTCATGACTTCTTCGTAAATGTTTTGTCAAGACTTCTTCGTATATATTTTGTCAAGACTTCATCGTAAATGTTTTGTCAAGACTTTGTCAAGACTTCATCGTAAATGCTTTGTCATGACTTCTTCGTAAATGATTTGTCATAACTTCATCGTAAATGTTTTGTCAAGACTTCATCGTAAATGCTTTGTCATGACTTTGTCAAGGTTTCATCGTAAATGACTTTGTCAAACTTCTTCGTAAATGATTTGTCAAACTTCATCGTAAATGCTTTGTCATGACTTTGTCAAGGTTTCATCGTAAATGATTTGTCAAGATTTCATCGTATATGTTTTGTCAAGATTTCTTCGCATATGCTTTGTCATAAGTTCTTCGTAAATGTTTTGTCATGATTTTGTCAAGGTTTCATCGTAAATGATTTGTCATGACTTTGTCATAAGTTCTTCGTAAATGATTTGTCATGACTTTGTCAAAACTTCTTCGTAAATGCTTCATCGAACTTAAACGTAAACACTTTGTCATGATTTCATGGTATACGTTTTGTCAAGACTTTGTCGTATATGTTTTGTCAAGATTTCTTCGTAAATGATTTGTCATGACTTTGTCAAAACTTCTTCGTAAATGCTTTGTCATGACTTCATCGAAACTAAACATAAATGCTTTGTCATGATTTCATCGTAAATGCTTTGTCATGATTTCATCGTAAACTAAACGTAAACACTTTGTCAAAACTTAAACGTAAACACTTTGTCATGATTTCATCGTAATGAGTGTAAATGACCCAAAAATAATGTTTAGGTGAAGAGGTGAGATCTCACCTGTTTTTTCACCTCTTTTTTCATCCTCGCCGCTTAGCGGCTCAGATTGCTTTAGCTTTCTCGTGAATTTACACCAAAAATAATGTTTTGTCATGACTTCTTCGTAAATGTTTTGTATAAACTTCTTCGTAAATGCTTTGTCATGACTTCATCGAACTTAAACGTAAATGCTTTGTCAAAACTTCTTCGTAAATGCTTTGTCGAACTTAAACGTAAACGCTTTGTCATGATTTCATCGAACTTAAACGTATATGTTTTGTCATGACTTCTTCGTAAATGTTTTGTCAAAACTTCATCGTATATGCTTTGTCATGACTTCTTCGTAAATGTTTTGTCAAGACTTCGTCGTAAATGTTTTGTCAAAACTTCATCGTAAATGCTTTGTCGAACTTAAACGTAAATGTTTTCAGTGTTACCATGTTACCATGTGCTACCAGGTTATTTAACTTCTCTTAAAATTACTGACAACATGACATTTTGACAACAGGTACGAAAGGAGGAAGGCACTTATGAATTATTTTTGAATAACTGATGGTGTTACCATGTTACCATGTGCTACCAGGTTATTTAACTTCTTTTAAAAATGATGACAACATGACATTTTGACAACACAGCAGGATTAATGCAAAAATAAATTCCAATCATACTTTATAAAGCTTCATTTACAAGTATTTCATCGTATATGTTTTGTCATGACTTCATCGTAAATGCTTTGTCATGACTTCATCGTAAACTAAACGTAAATGTTTTGTTATGATTTCATCGTAAATATTTGTCATGACTTCATCGTAAACTAAACGTAAATGTTTTGTTATGATTTCATCGTAAATACTTTGTCATGATTTCATCGTAAATGATTTGTCATGACTTCATCGAAACTAAACATAAATGCTTTGTCATGATTTCATCGTAAATGTTTTGTCATGACTTCTTCGTATATGTTTTGTCATGATTTCATCGTAAATGCTTTGTCATGACTTCATCGTAAATGTTTTGTTATGATTTCATCGTAAATGCTTTGTCATGATTTCATCGTAAATGTTTTGTCATGACTTCTTCGTATATGCTTTGTCATGATTTCATCGTAAATGTTTTGTCATGACTTCATCGTAAATGTAGTTAGTATGGTTATCTTGGTTATGGTGGCACTGCGTTCCACCTTACCCAAGATAATGGTTTGACACTTTACAAAACCATTAACGTATATTTTACAACACAAACGACAACACTAACTTAACCTTAAATATTTACAAAGCCGTCAACCACTTCACCTCACTAATGTAAAAAAATAAACGTTCTCACTTACAAAAGTATTGCAACTCCTCCCAT